CTCATAATACATCTGTATTCCCCAATATATTCGTAGCGTCAAACATTTAGGCTAGTCATAAAGGTGATATAAATAAATAAAATGGATATTACAACATCCCAGTTCGAAAGTATAGTTTTACACAAACGGTTATGAATTGAAAAAATCTGACAAAACACTTAAATAACAAGAACAATTTTCAGTGTGAGATTGTCGGATTTCATTGGAATTATGAACTGATCTAAATTAGACTATCAGTGAAAACCTGGAGTCATTAGATGGCCGTTTCGTATAGGATTCCGCAGAAGTGGACACCCACGAACTCACACACAAGGGTCGTACGCAGGATTCTCGGTTTAATCGTGTTGGCTATGAGGCAGTCACTCTCCAAACATAATGAAGGATGGTCACTAAATATTTCGGACTTATTGAATTTAGATGTTAACATTGTTGGATGGCATTTAAGTGGATTGCAAATATGCTTGTTAAATATTAGTTTCTAGGTTAGTTTGTTATTTATCCTACTGATCTCGAGTAGATACTTGATTATCTATTAATGAAGAAGCATACTATGAAAAGTAAGTCACATATTATATGCTTAATTTGTCATAGCTTCATTTCCCAAGTGCCCAAGACAGGGTTGGATGGAGAATGCTGGTGAGCGGCCTATGCTCCTTCGCGTGGAATAACAGGCGTAAGTAAGTAAATAATTCATTTCCTAAGTAGTTAACGAAATTCATTCAAAATGAATATTAAACTATAGCTGAAATCGAACTGATAGCTTAAAGAACGCCAATCTATTGATAGGTTACATAAACTACTATTGATCCGAATAAGCTATTTCATAGCTCTTTTATAGATGATAAAGTGTATATGATTCTCATTCTTTACTTATACTGAAATTGATATAGATTATTATAACGACACATCTGGTTAACTAAACCACTGAAACCGAAGTCAAACTGTGGTGCGTGCTACTTATATTGATATAAGTAGTATATGACGCGAGTCAGAAATGTAATGTCTGGCAGCAGAAGATGGAGGAAGATCAAGAAAGGAAGAGCGGGAATAAAAAGCAATAAGTATGGAAATGCAAGAACAACGAAGTTCGAGACAGTTATTGAACATTTTGCAAATTAAGTATTATAGTATGGTTTTTCTATTTTACCAACTCTGTAATTTTGTGCTAAATATAGTTCGATTGTCCCCACTCGTGTTCTGTTCACTACAGGACTAACATTTTTTTACTCGACTCATCCCAAATATCGACCGAATAAATCACAAAGATAAACCATTGACAGACTGCATCTAGAATTATGTCAAAGAATCAAATCTCCAGTAATAACCTTCACAGACATCTTATAACCCCTACATTAATTCTTCTAGTTAATGTAATCATTCTATGACTCACATATTTGACCTTGTTAACTATCCACTATTAACTGAGCATTTTTTATGTGGGATTAGCCTATACATGTCTATGCACTCATTTTATCTTAGCGATTATTTTCCCCCATACCTGCTTCTTGTCTGCATCTATTCCTTTTCCATATTCCGTCTCTGTGTTTACTTGCTCATGTAATTGTCTAAAATATACAATCCACTGATTGAAATCATGAGTCAATTGAAGCTAGACCAACATGGAAAACCTGAAAGCACTGGACGGTCGCTTCGTCCTAGTACGGGACTCCTCAGCAGTGCTCATCCACGATCCCGCCCCCCCACGAGATTCGAACCCAGGACCTATCAGTCTCGCACCAGGAGCTTAATTCATGATTTCAATCAGTGAACTTTCTAAAATCTCCACAAAATCCCTTCTGATAAAATATACATATCTAAAGAATAACTTATATTTGAATTTTTACTTTTATGTTATATTAAAGTGATCAATCGATAGAATATAAGCAAAATTAAACATTCAATGATTGTTATTAGTTATCTGTAATCGACATAAGACCACAATATTCATGTTTACCATATAAAAGTATTCAATATAACCATAAGTTATTTATAAAGTGATATATATATATAGTTAATCAAAGTTATAACGTGAACTCATAATATCTTACTATTATCATTAAAAGTAATATAACATTGATCTACTTTGAGTCAGTTGAAATTCATATGACCAATTCATAGATCATTTACTTATCATCACCTTTTCTTTATTCGATTTAGAATAGAATAGAAATCTTTAGTAGATAATTAAAAAATGTATCCATATTTGTCACTTATACAAGTAAAATCATATGCTTACAAATAATAATAATAATAATAATAATAATAATAATAGATCCCGTCTACTTTATATCAAATAGAAAAAAAATCTTAACCAATCACATTCATTCTGATTTTTTTGTTGTTTTTTTTTCTAAATATCAAAATCATGTTACTATATGCTGAAAAATATAGTTGCCGGTTTTTGTTTTCTAAAATAGAAATTTACCTTGATATTAGAAAATCGAATCACCAAGTGCAGAAAAAAAAGATTTATTGATGAACCAATTTTTTTCTTTTGCTCTTCTCATTCAATCATCATTATTTGAATCAACTCGTATATACTATTCAGAAGGGGTTTTTCTGTGGATATTATAGTAATTTTAATAGTTGGGATTATGATTTAATTGAAACTAGATAATCATAGAAAACCGGTAAGCACTGGATGGCTCTTTCGTCCTAGTTTGGGATTCCTCAGTAGTGTGTATCCACGATCTCTCTTCGTGAGATTCGAACCTAAGATCTATCAGTCTCTTTTGTTTTTCATTTCAATTAATGTATAAATTATGTAATATATATATATATATAGTGTTAGATAAATGAATAGTGATGTAACCCTTAAAGTGACCCAGTTATTTTTAGTTTAAAAGTATTTAGTTGATGCTTTATATATTAAACTAAAGTATAATAATACTAATTATATTATATAATCTTATATAAATAAATTATTATTGAGTAAAATGATGTTTGAGAATATTCTATAATTTTTGTTAATGTGAATTACAATGAAAATTAGATGACAGTAAATTGAATTAGAATGAGAATATATGAACTGTTGAGATTATTCTGGTTTAGATACAATTAAGTTGTTGATTATTCTAGTCAAAAAACAAAGAAGTGTGTATCTTCTTAGTTTTGAAGGGTTAATAATTGATGAAATCCTGATAGATAAACAACAAGTCTAATTGTTATACATAACTTAAGATGAAATATTTGTCTGTTTATCAGGGTGTATGTGTACATACTGAGACGATATTGAATCGATAACTTAATTTACAATACTATGAAAGAAGCTTTTTGTAAGCAATGATGGCTAGCAGTGGAATCCAGGACGTGCGTTTCTTCCTATTTAAGAGTCATCAGTTGGATGTACCTGTTGATGTTCACTCTGGGACTCGAATCCAGCACCATTCGCTTCAAACGCCATCGCGTTATCCACCCAGCTACTGAGTCCTGATAGCCACTTGCTAGTGCAATGGGGTGAATTTCAATTCACTTGGTATTGTTTGGCTTGTATCTTTTTATTGAGATTTAAGACTGCAATTAATCAGTCTGTTATTGGCATATGTGCATGCTGTGCGTATGCCTCGATTTCCGCTGCTAGCCACTATCCATCATTGCTTACAAAAAGCTTGTGAATTAAGGCAACATCAAGGCATACGCACAGTATGCGCATATGCCAACAATAGACTGATCAACTGCAGTCTTAAATGTCAATGGGAAGATACAAGCCAAACAATACCAAATGATCATGTAAATTTGAAAAAGAGGTATGCATTTATTGCTAACATTTAGTCACAGATAACATTGAAATATGATAGAATAATAGGATCAGTGGTCCCGAGATAAAAAGTAGGGTTTTAATTTGCTATAGACTGTCGATTGAAGATGCTCATCGAATCAAGCAACTAAATAATCAAGCATGTTATACTAATTAAATATCAGTAAATAGAATAAACACAGGAACGTTGTAACCAAGACATGATATTAATTGTTGAAGCGATTTACTACTAATGTTGGTTGTATAAAATTCTTCGTTGTGCTCTGCCAAATGATGATAATATTTGATTGGTGATTTTGAATGATAAGTCCGAAATCAATTCTAGTTAGTTAACTATATACTGTCCGGTGACCAATGATTAGTTCATACGCCATTTGTTCCTTCAGGATACTGGAGCCAACTTGCACCATTGGTTTGGAATCAGGGTTTTCCAACTCCCATAGGTTGACTCCCCAAGTCCACCAACCTGGTTAAACCACCGGACGTTCGCTTTTCATCCTTTCAATTTCGTAAACAACATCCCCGCCAAGAGAAGGCAGTGAGGGCTTCCCTGGCAGGGGCTATATACGTGTGACCATATGAGAACATTTCGAGAGGGAGAGCGGACTCTGCACTCTCGGCCGTACCAGGGCATTTGGGGGCTTAAAAGTGTGGCAACTAGTTATTGCAATGTGGAAGTGCCGGGCAACGATCCCGGGCTCTCTCGCATGCCAAGCGATATCGTGGTTGCTGGCAATATACAGCGAAAAGAATGTACATTATTTAGATGTCGACTGACTGCACTGTTAACTGGCGACCACTCAATATTGATCGTCACGATAAATGAAGAAATAAGAGGAAACTTGTTAAAATACTTTGTGTTGAGAATTCTATATGGTAGCAAAAATGTAATATTGAATAAAGCTAATAGCAATAATACACTACGATCAGATCTTACTTAGACAATTATTAAAAAACCCGAAAGTAGTGGTCATCGACCAGTGAAACTGGTTGCACAACATCGCAAATACACTGAAGCTGAAGCTATGAATCATTGGTTGTCAAATCAATGATTTGGAGGTACTGGGTTTGATCCCTAGCAAGAACGTGTGTATATATTGCTGATAAGTCCCACACAAGGTCGAAACAGCTTCCCAATGGTTATCTAATTGAAATTAGTTCTTGATAGAAACTATAAAATAAAATACTCTTTTTCTACGAACTGTATACTGCTGTGTGAATACAGTGTTTTAGAACTAATTATTATATATGATAAACATATCTTTTCGTTAAATATCAGGCAAATAAGAATAACAGTGATTAATTATAACAATGATAAGTTAAATTTTTAAATATTCAATACTCTGCAGATAAATGAATGAGATTTTTTTGTCGAGCAAAACATAATAAGAATAAGTGAAGATAAACGGAAATAAAATTGTTTCGATTGCATGTCTGAAAGGTAGTAGTGAGGAGGATTAAATTTTCAATACTATGAAACTGTTCTAGACTTTTTTAAACATGAGATGGAAAATAACGAAAAAAGGAGGATAGCGATAAGATCTTCCAAGATTAGTAGTAGTGATATATGTGACAAAAGTATGCGTTAGAAAATTTTTCCAGAGATAATAGTAAAGCATGAAAAACTATTGATCAAAAGAGAAGATACTACTCGATACTAGTAAGTAGTAATCATTTGTATGTAAATAAGCAGGTATAAATGAATCAATGGAATAAATTATATCACTGACTGCCAGACACAAAACAAATATGTACAATCATCACATGGTAATATAAACCACCGAAAACAATGAAGAAAATAGAACAAAACGCTGCAACAAACATACAAATTTGACAAAATACAGATTCAAGAACACAGAAGAAATAACATGTGCGTATGATAATTAGACTGTTATTACATTGTTGTCATCATTGTTCATGACTACCAACGGTAATAATGATGAGAATAATAGAGAGCGCGAGAGAGAACAAAACTAAAAATGCCATCATCATCATTATTAACATAAATCATTTAACATAAACTAGAATGATGTTGATCATGAACATAAATAGGTAGAGTGAAAAAGTTAATTATTCATGTGTGAACATGTTCGACGAGGATTGGACAAACAACAAAAAACAAACATTAAAAGAAAAAAATCAGCAGTATAATCACCAGTAGTAGAATTCACTTAAGAAAAATATAAATGTAACAGGAAAAACATTTCAATAAATAAATGTGAAGGTATACGACAGACGAAATACAAGTGAAGTAAACACTGCTTGAATGAATTATTGCATAACACTATTACTATACAAAAACAAACGTTTACACACTCGACAACTAACTATACACTGGAAAGTTGACGTTCTAAATGGTAAGATGAAAAGAAAAGAGTACACTCGTTGAGGAACAAAACACATAAACATACATGGATAGAACTATTCAATGATCAAATGAAAACATCATTTTAAAAGCCTATATGTGACTAATATAGAAAGATATCAAGAAATGAGTACAACAGGTATTCTAGGGAATGTTAAGAAGGGATTATTATCCATACTTTTCCATGAGAGAGCTATATCCATCAGTTGACTTGTATACTATTTATGAATGAATTAACAATAGGAATCAATTTGTATTAGTTACTATTTATCAATTATTATTGAAAATAAGGAGAAAAAGAAGGATCAAAATTCACATTTTAATGACTTGTACAGTGAATTTCTGAAAAACGACATGATTACGATTAGTGTAGAATAATATACGGCAGTGACAATAATTTTATTCATACTATCATATTCACTAAATGAAACAACGAAAAAAAAAACAATCGAAAATTGCAAATCTTTCACAAACCATTGAAGAAAAAGTATAAAGACAATTAGAACAAAGGGATGAAGATTTAGACTGAACTGGAATGTACAAATTAAATATTCAATTGTTAACATTGAAAAACGAAAAGAAAAAAAAACAAGTAATTCCAAGTTGAAAAACAAAGACAGGATTTCTATCATGTATACATATAGGTATCGAAAGATATGTCGCATAGTAAAGAATAAATATGTGTATATCCATGTATATACAACAACGATTTGAATAAACTATATGGTGTGTAATTGTTTACAATATTATTGTTAGAATAATTGTATCAAATAATATAATATTTATACTCTTGAATATGAATAACAACGAGGCAAACATTGAGAAAATCGACAAACAATATGATGTAAACGCAATACGGTATGGCAAAACAAACAGTGAATATATATATTTATGCATAAATAACATTAAACTGATCGCTTTTATGAGATAAGTTTGGGGAAAGCGGATAGATCTTTATTGGTTAGTAACGACGAGTATCTGGAAAGTAGAGAAAGAAACAATTATTTTTACACATAAGTTTAAATAAGAAAAGAGAAAATCAATGGGATGTTAGAGCACACTAAAATCAATAGTGAATGAACACACACACACACACCAGAGCGTACATAGCCTAACACCATTATGTTATATTGTGTATACAATCAAGACATCTGAAATGTGGGTACAAAAAGGGGATATAATGTCGAGTTGAAGTACTTAAATTTCATTTTTGAGATGGGGAGTTGTAGATCAAAAGAATTATTTCAGAAGAGTTACGTCCTCAGAACTTGATTAGTTTAACAGCGAAGCTTTCATTATCTTTCTAGACAACTTCAATCAGCACAAACGTATTATAAAAGTGAGTTAATAAAATCCCTGCATCTATAACTAACCTATACCATGGTTAACATTAAATATGATTGGTTATTGTCAAAACTTTCCCTATCAGTGATTGTATAGTTAAAAGTAATCAAAATAAATATGGTGTCAGGTTTGTTCTGGTGATGTTTATGTTCAGAGTAATAATGACTTATTCAATCAACTAGTTTAGAGAACGTAAATCTATCAAAAAGAAATTTAACAAATATACATATTCAAATTAATTAGGACAATCAAATACAGTTTTGTAGACTAGTAAGGATATATGTATGATGTCTTTATCGAGTCTCTAGTGCATCTTCATGACAAAACTGCCAAACTCAGAGAATCAGTCAGGCAGTAACAATGTAGAACTTCGTACGTACGTACATCAGTTCGAGTTGCCACACCATATTAGCACAGAGATGCAGTGGTTGATTCAAATCCCTTAGTGGTAGAGGCGGTAAGAGTATAAGCAGCAATCGGATAGATTAGAGTTTGAAGATGTTATTCAAGGAGTATAATCCAGTGAAATAAATTTGGAAAGAGAAAGAAGGGACATGAAGATTAGAATTTGGGAGAAGACAAAGAGTTGATTCACCTGCGCCATTACGAACGATTTTGAGCCATGTCATTCAGGATCTCTAACCATCGGTTGCTATCATTTCGCGGTCCCCAACCAGGTACTCTACACCTACTAACTCAGAGAATGAAACAATACCTACAACATTAGTCTACCGTGTTACAACTACAGATTTCAATGACTTAGAGTGTGAGCGACTAATGTCGATTGGAAAATATCATGATAATACCTATAGCAAAAGCAGATAGAAGTAGAGAGAGAGAGATAGAGTAATATGACAGGAATGAAAGCTAAAGGTTTTAACAAGGATACTATCATTCAACTAATTAAATAATAAACCCATAAAGAAAAATCATATATTTTACGCTGTTTACAGTATTATTACAATACTTTGTGCAAAGTTTATACACGAGAAAAATAAACAAGCAGATAAACTAACAATAACATATGTCAGTAATATAAAACAGTCAGTCAGTCAGCTACAACGTAGGACCAACACATTATGGTTGTTTTAAGACAAAAAAAAACTAGAATGAATAATTTTCATTATTAATAATTCATATTTACAAGTATATGGTTAGAAAGTGGTAGATTCTACATGGAAAATTTTAAATAATGATGGATAAAACATCTAATCACTGTTCTCTAGTATTACAACCAGTGAATGATGTTACTAGTTTGGTAAAAATATACTAATCAAAATACTAACCAATAGAAGTTTATTCTTTTTGTATAAAAAAAAATAAGTCTGAAGTAATTATTGCATTGTTCCGTTGTACTATTTAAACTTGGATTAATCTTAATTTGGTTATTTATTCTCTGAAGAAGTGACTTACACTAAGTCACGAAACGTCAGGAAATCCAATTTTCTACTCATTGGGATATTATAAATACATTATTTTTATTTATAAGAGTGCTGAGTTGAAATTCAGAGACGCTCACCGAGGAACAATCAGTAATAAACTAAGTGAACCATAGAATAGAATTTAATGCGAATGCATACAGCTAATCACTGTGATGTAGTTTCACTAAAACATAGAAATCAATTATATGGGACAGAGTTGAGAAGCGAAAGAAATTATTTGTATGTTTTATAACAATAGTATGTCTTATTTGTTTGAAATAAGGCAAATTATCTGCTACTTTAATCCGGGATAGGCACCAATGATGCAGCATAACATCAAAGCCTAACAAATCGCTTAAACTACACAAGTAATAACAGGCTCATTTAGGTGTATTTGTATGTGTGTGATTTAAAAAATCTGGATAACTAGCAAATTAAAATATTATCGTAATATAAATTAAGAGCCAAATCTAGAGTATAATTCTGGAGTAAGATTTATAAGTGTTTGACTCTTCTCAATAGTGAGGGAGATCAATCCCAGTAGTCTTTAACACATTGACTAATAATAAGGAATATTAAAGTACTTACAAATGAAATAAATGGCTGGACAGATAATAGCAATGATATAACATACAGTGTATCATTCCATGTTCCAATAAAGCAAATGAAAACAATAAAAGCAGAACTACTGTAGTCAAAATGATAGTAATCATAATCTAATCATAACAACAACAGCAAACGATTAGAAAGCGGATTAATTAAAATTGGCTAGCGGTTGGCATTTGAATCCTTAACATAAATGAAAATAGAAACGCTTACGAACAAAATTTACGCTTACTACAAAAGTCCATGGCTATTTGAAGTCAGTAGCTTACTGAATGACTTGTAGGTGTATCAAGCGACAGGTATTGGGGTACATATCTTAATGTAGACATCAACACTGAGGTGCACCTACATCCAGCTAACAAGTCCTGAACAGAAGGAAACGGGAGCCTTGGATTCCATCGTCAGCATGAATATAACTTCAATAAAACTCACAACTAAGTAATAATATCGAAGTAATTCGACCAGCATGTACATATTTTAAAAGAAACTGATCAGTAGCAATACAGAATATAAACAATACGGAAATACAAAACCTTACAAATACAGTGGATTGAACAACTGTTTACATCATTTCTTTTTAGGACATAGAATTATGTTCAACAACTATAATGCATTTTCATATTGTAAATGAGTAACTCCATTATAACTTGAGTAATGTACAGACTGACGTTTCCGTGCATCAGAGTCACCAGAATTTATTGATGACCAACTGGTAACATTCAATAGACCAATAAGTCTTTTTAGCACGATAAATCAGTTTATTTAGATTTCAATGATGCTTGTAATATTATCATACATAAAGTGAGTTTAACAAATATTTACATTAAATAGTCGATAAAATCAATCTTCAAAATAACCAATTTTCTTACTTTCTAAATTTAACAAGGTAATTTATTTTGAGTAGATTGATTAGATCAGCTGATTAGATAAAACTAGATCGATGAAACTACTTTCTAATTTTCCGCAAAATTCTCTTTACTCGGCGCCCAATTTCTGTCAAACTATTGGTTCTAATCTTGACGAATATTCGTGTAAATATTATGATCAGTTAAGATGCTTTAACACTGGTCACCGGATCCGAAACATAATCTATGCATTAGTGTAGCTAATAATTTTGGTTTGTCAATTTGTGATTGAAATTATTTACTCTATTTGTATGTAAGGTGACTGGAGATAGTTGGCAGAATACACTCCACGATTAAGGTTACGCAGGATAAAAACAGATTTGCTTGTACTAGATTCCGTGTGATCGGGCCGTAATAACAGGAAATTAGTTGTTCGATTTCTCTCCAGTCTAACTATCGATTAGTTCATCTACCTGTACTGGTAGTAGGACAGATGACCTATTTATCAACTGATATATAGACCAATAAATAAAAAGTAAGACATTAACGCTTATTGGCTCTTGAGCACCTTTATAACACAGTGTCCGATCAGAAGACGAAGATAAAACCAGATCAGTCCTCTGTTGTACTCAATTCAATAATGGCTGGAAACTCATACAAATAACATACTTGAAATGTCTGACAGTACACCAACAATGGGGAAATTACTAAGCATACGCAACTTAGTTATAAAGTGATATACAATCAGAGTAATTGGAAAACAATTAATTGATGATAAATTAGAAAAAAAATAAGACATGGTAGTGATTTATAGATCAAATAAAAGCTCAGAACTACAAGAATATAAAAATACAATAGTCTATGTGTTTATCAATTATGAAATAAAAATGTAAAGAATAATTATTTGTAAGGTAGCTTTAAAAGTTATTGTTTTACACTATTCGTTTAATTATATCATTTAATTATTCATGGAAGTAAAGCTCATAGTGCAATTTTAATTCAGTTCACTCAGCTTCATAGTCTAAGATGTTACTACTGACTTTTATAGGGACTATGACTGACTCATATTGTATGTACACAAATTAAATTCATTATTATTATTACGCTAAAGCGAAACAGAAAAGTGGTTAAAGTTGCCAGAGTTTCAACCATTATGTAGGTACTTAGTTAGTTCTATCTACTTTGGTTTGAGCGGCGGTATGAGACACGAATTTCTATACACATACACACATATATATACGAATAGCGAAACTTAAAGCCGACTACGCGCATTTATATTTTGAATATATAGGAGATATTAAAATATCAAACTAACAGATTCATTAAGGCTATTATCTGATAAGAGAGGTAGTTATATGCAAACAGAAAAAGCTTTAATTAGTTCGATTAGACGCAGGATCCAAACAATGTTTTTTCGTAAAAATAAAAACTAGAAGACCCAGTGTGTAGGTCATAATACTCAAGCGCTGGTTATTTATCAAATATCTGTCACCAATATTAATCAAACAATAATAAAAAAAACTATATTAATAATACACTCTATGCAAACCATGCAATCTCAATAAACAATAATAGTTGAGGATGTAGAAATTAGTGAACAGAAAATAAAAGATCATTTAATTCAACAACACATAGTGGTGAGTAATTCCATGTAAATGAGTGAGTGAGTACACATTATGAAATATAGTGTTGAAAAGGGGATGATGAAAGATAACGCAATTATTAAGCCATACACACAGAATAACTTATAAACATTAGTGCTTGAGAGCTCACCGAGAGTACTTAATTATACTATATGTATAGTTATATGCTAAGTGTACTTGAGAATTAGAAAAATAGTAATGGTCGTAAATACAATTGATTCGTAGATGTTGGCTTATGGTATCGTACAAAATAGATCATTTCTGCTTGTTGTTTTTAAAAAAAGAATTATATACTATGTACAAGTACATTTTGTTTAGATTCTATTATTCTGTTTGGAGATTTTTAATTCACTTTTCGACATTGACGCTTTCTTATAAATGATTCACTAAGTATCGGGACAGGTCGTGATATACTTCCAGATGATTTGATAGAACTACGTGAAGAAGGAACTGGACAATCTTGCTGTTTATCAGTAATTAGGGCTGGTAGAGGACGACGACGATTATATGGTTGGTGATGATTACGGTGATATGCAGTTGTAGAAGGTGATGATGACCAACTAGGAATTTTAAATGCCATCCCATAAGGATCATAGATGGGAGAGGAAAGTGTTGAAGAAGCATCATTCATGAATTTCTCTAATGAAGCACAATCAATCTGACTGAGTCGATTAGATTGTCTCTTTTTAATATTGTTTATCAAATCAGACGATTCATCACTTATTTTTAATGTATTATTATTATCACTATTATTATTTTTATCAATGTTTGATGGAAGTACTTGTGAATTAAAAAGAGAAGTATCAACTTGATACGATGATATTTGATGACTATTTTGTATAATACCACATGATTTTGGTTGATTATTGACTATTTGTAATAAATTATGGTCATAATAAGATGATTTGTTAAGTGGTGATGATAGATTATTCTGACTATCATTAGTGTGTTTATCAGCAATATTTGAATATTTATCACTTGAACTTGATGTACTGAAACTAATCTGACTAGGTGTACGTTCAATATCAGCTGCTAATATATCGTACAAATGTAGGATACGTTGATTATTATTATTATTAAATGAAGATATTAAAGCGGTAGATCTGTATCCGGATTGTGGTTTAAATCTTCTACTGTAATTATTTCCTGTAATTGGTCCTTGATCATTTTCAGACGACATGGTAAAAATTGATGATTCTGGAGTGGAGATCCTTCGATTGAGTTCGCCCGTACTACGGTACCGGTTCGGCATTTTTGTGATTGGCGTAATGTTGGAGGAATTGGATCCCAATTTACTTCTAATCGCATAAGGCTGTTTTGATGGTGAACTAGAATATGAGCTTTTTCTTGAGTATGTACCGTTACAACTTTGGACTTCGGATGGGCACCGCACATCGTATTTCGTAAAGCTGATGTTATTAAACGATGTATAGTAGATGAGCGCTTGAGTTGAGCTGTTTCGATCTGATCTATACAAAGGTGAAACATCTTGGGAATAATTTATCATGGTCAAGTAAAATTCCGATCGAGTGTAGGAAAGAATATCACAAAATAAATGGAAAATTATGATTATGTACACACACACACAAACGAAGATACGCCCGTAATACGAAGCATTATGTTATAAGTTAGCACAATATAGGATCAGAAAACAAACCATATTTATGAAGAAGAGAAATAAAAAGAAAACATCATTACAATGAATTTTTAATATATCGAATAATAAAATACTTTTTTTGTTTAAATTGTCACTTACAACAAGTCAGTTAATCATAACACAACGTAGAACCTGACATACAAGTAAACTGGTTCAAGTTATCAAACTACACAGCAATAAAACGAGACGGAATTATAATGACAAATACTAATGTAGCGATGAAAGCAGTAATAGTATCACTTGTAGTAAACACTAAGTGTAGATAATGAATTGAGAAGAACGAATTCGTGGGATTGAAATAATAAAACAATTAAAAAAGTAAAACAAGGAGTGAATACATTTGAGCCGTTGGGAGATATTCATATCACATAAAGTCTCAAACAGTAAGGACCCCAACTCAGTAGTTAGAACAAGATAAAACGGCCCAGCCCGACAATAACTTTACACACTGATGTTATATCTTTAAAAAGGACACCTCTAGCTTGCCTTCGATTTAATATTATGCCAGAGTACGAAAATAATCGAGGTAGGGAGTGGCTAGGCAAAACATAACGTACTAGATGTCTCGACCACCTGAGTTGACGGTGATTCACTACCTTATCAAACGACTTCCATTTTTACCTAGTGGCTTGTATACAATTCGTCCATAAAAAATATCAAATAGAAATAATGAATGCTTTACCATATATCAGGCAGTCGGAAAAACCCATCATTCTTTGATAAAACTCGTTAAAATTAAAAAATAAAATTGGTGTCAAAACGTTGAGAAAAACCACAATCCAACCAGAGATCTAAATCTAAATTCCTCGAAGAAAAACAAATGTCTAAGAAATTACTAAGTCGGTTAGTGACTTTTGTGAAAAAGAAAGTATTCCATGAAAGCCAAATCTTTTGAAGATCTGATTTGATTATTCAGTGATTAAAGAGAAACAATTCTAAAATTATATTCCACAGAGGGTGGTTAGGAGGGAGAGAGATATACGATATAAATTTATAAGCACATAACGAAGGAATACTCATATATAAAGAAATGAATACCCATCTTGTATTACATAGAATAAAACAATAATGACAACAAATACAGTAATTCTTATCGATAAAGAATGAACATGCTTCATTCAAAGACTGTGTATACGTTATTGTAATCAACTGTGAATTATATTTGTGTGATGCTTTATGCAACTGATTCAACTGATGAAGTGGTGTATGCACATGCGGCATGTCAATTAAATATATGTGTCACAATTAATATTCATCATATATATACTACTACTTTATAAGAACTACTACCATTATATTGTTTGACTATTAAAACTCATATCTTCTATTCAGAGAAATTGTAAATAAATAAACCAAAAAAAGAACGGTAGTACAAAACCAACGAATATGATGACTTATAAAAATAAGAAATTAGATTATGCATAAATAGTCATTTACTGTTTTATTTTGTTCAACAACAAACCAAAAGGAGAATATGATAGTTTGTGATGAAATAAATAAATAAACTAAATCTCACCTGTCGATTTAACACTTTCATATGTTGTTCCTCTGTAATAGAAAATGGAAATAGAATGATTAGGGAAATGTAAAGTTAATCAGTTAGGTCTCATCAAATAAGTGCTTAGCATAGATGTTTATTGTTTCAAGTTACAATATGATTTTAGTAAGATAAGATGAAATTAACAAGATGAATAACAAAACAGATTGAAATAATGCAGTACTAATGAAAATAAGGAAAGGTAAACGTCGATTCTAGAAAACAGAGTGGGAAGGTATATATGAATACATACCAGAATTTAAGATTAAGAGCAAAGTAAAGAATGAATAGATCTGAACGATTGTGAACAATTTGGCGACATGTCATCTAATATCTCCAACCGTTGGTCGCAGTTATTACGCGGACCTTAACCAGGTAGTTTGTATCGACGTTACAGAGCTCTGTCTGACAGTGACTTCAAGTTTTAAATTGGTCACCTCTAACTTTCTCCTAAATTACTTTTACACTGCTCAGTACCCCATACCTAACCTATACAACACTGCTTATTATTATTATTATTTGGACACATGAATATTGGTACAGGGGAGCGCCAATATATATGCGCCACACATACAACACTGCTTACGTGGTAATCCCACGAAAGGAAAACACTGCTTTGAAGATAAGTATGATCAAACACCTGTAGCCTATGCATGCATTCTACTTTTAGAGACCGTATTCCACAGCTGTGCAGTATACACGTTCTTCGGTTGGTATTGTGGTGTGTGCTACTTATATTGACATAATTAGTATATGATGTTAGTAGTGAACAGAAGGTCTGGCAGCAGAGACAAGAGGATCGAACAGTAAAGAATGGAAACAGAATGCAATTTGTATGGAGATGCAAGAACAATGAAGTCTGAGTCATATTGAGAAAATTGATGGACATTTTGCAAATTCAGCATTTACTTTATATATATATAATATATATATATATATATATATATATATATATATATATGAAAGCATTATCACACATATATCGTTAGCATATTTCTAACAAATCCTTACAGGATGTCAGTCGTAGCTCAATCAGTTCAAGGGTAATGTGTATGTGCGTGAATGGAGCATTCAGTGATGCAGATTTGAATTTCCTGGGGATTATGAGTTCTCTGAAGATTGCAAATACACACTATTAGTGGAGAAAACTAATATGCAATTAAGGCCTACAGAGACCTTATGATCAAAGTGAGCCGTGATTTCAAGAGTGATCGAAATTACGAAAAACGAACATAGCGAAGTAACTAACTTATGTCACAGAACAACCACAGGGAATAACTAAACGATTCAGTAAGCCATGACATGATATCATGGAGATTACTGAAACATAAGAACAGAAGTACTTTTTTGCGACTTATAGTTACAGTAGAAATGTTTAGAACCTGAATAATTCTAACGTCATTTACCAGGTTTAACTTATGAGAACGAAATCGGTCATTTCTTGTTCATAAAGAGATATTGAAATAGCTATAATAATGTGGTAAATCCAAACATTATTTTAAAAAATATGTTTTTTTGTAGACCAACCTAAATACTATTATCACAATAGTTTCTGGAGACTGTCAAATGTTATCAAAATCTCGAGAAGGTCTAAGTTAGAAAACCAGGAGTTACTGAACAGTGATTTCGTTCTAATATGAGACTCTTAAGCAGTGTATATACAATAATGATCGGGGGTAGGACCTTCGATCTTCGGGGCAACATCTGCCATTAAATGGTTGTGGAGATCTTTACCATAGAAACTTCTTATGGGTTGATTTGGTTTGAGCATATCTTAAACAAGAGTCATTGTGATATTATGGAGATTACGTTGGGTACTATACAGTTAAAATTTGACCGGCAACAGGAATGAGGTGACATGAAATTTATTTCTAACCGATAATCGATTAGTGTAAACGAAACAGATATCTTAATGAAATACTGGAGAAATATATGAAAATTAATAAGTTCACTGAAATCAAATATAAATGATTTAAAACGTATGTGTATGAATGCGTTTCACATAAAAAAGTCAATGTTATAAATATATATCTTCATGCTTACTTGTCAGCCAAATCAATAGTATCTACGGGACAGTTGATATATATGAAAGAGAGGGGAAGAGTGAATTAGCGAAATACTAACAGTGAATTAAGCGAAATTGTAAGCATTGGTTATGATAAGAGAAAGCCTTTCGATAAATTTAATTTTAAAGTTTCCTTAAAGCGTATTGTTTAACCACTTACATGTATGGTCGTTTTATGTCAAGTATGTGACTTCGAGCTAATATGTACACGCAAAACTTCGTCACAGATCGAATGATTCAGGGTTTGCGGTGTGTTACAATTAGAATACTACATAGTAAATCGATAATCTAGCAACATGAATCTCGCATATAAACAAGTAACACAATAACCAGGATGATTTTCAAACATTTGATTTAAGCTATAAGCAGAGATTGTTATGGTTTAGTGATGAAAGCTTACGGAGATTCATACTTTCGAAATTTTATTCTATCTCTACTTCAGTTCAGGCAACCAGGTGAGAGATCAGTAGCTCTCAAATAAAATGTGACAGTAAACGAAGTACATAAAAGCTATACTTGGTTAATCTATTTCTGTAAGTAATAAACATCTAACTAAATCATTCGAATTCGCCTAATTATGACCAGGACTAAAAAAAAACGTTTAACATACTAGTAGGTTATCAGACAACACTGTTTAATCGTAAAATCAAATCTGTGATCACACTTGTTACACAGAGCCTTTGACGTAAGCTTTTACCAACAAAAAAAAACTGGATAAAGTCGATAGTGTATCATCATCATCACATGTAAAATCAGCTGATAATTGTCGTAAATTAAAATCAAATCACCTATTAATGAAGTATGACTGTTAAACTATGAAAAAATGTAACTTATTCTAGTGAAAAGGTATAAATAATACAAAACAAAAAAGGGAAGAAACAACTATGAATGAAATATGAATATGAACAATTTTGAAACAGCACACATACCATCTAGAGTTTTGATAGCAGCCATAGGACGATGAAGACGTTTGGAAGTACTTTGCTTTAATGCTATTTATTCAGTAAAATTGTAAAACAAAGCAAACAAAAAGTGAATAGCTGGCCATATAAAACGAGATCAAAAAGTAACTTTATGAAATAACAATATGATAAAGCGGATGTACAGAAGGTTTACTTTAAAACGGATTCAGACAAAAGAACAATATGTCAACGCCATAAATATATATACATACTAAAGTATGGTATTGAACAGAAATACATATAAAAAAGGAGACAAAAACAGACGGATGAACGAAGAGACGGACACACTAGACAACAACACAATCAGAGTACCATGTAGTAATTAAAAGCATTTCAAGGTCAAGTAATTTGAAAGGTGAACCAGACTGGAACAATGTTCAAATTTTAACCAAAATGAAATTGACGAAAGTCGATGAAAAAAAATATATCGTGCTCATCAAACTATGAATAAAGCAGATAAATTTAAACATAAAAAATTATAATATACTGATTATATCACTCAATACAATGTACAATCTGCTATAATAATACAGAACTGAATCAGCTTCACACATATATATATAATGCCTAAAAAAATTTGAGCATACGTAGCTCAATACAGTAATCATGTATATTATATATTATTATATTATTATATATATATCACATACATTTTGCAACGATTAAATAGCATATACATTAGAATTTTCATTTAAATCGAACGGGACTCTTAACCTCCATTAGTTCTGAAGTAATATATAAACTAGTGGTTCAGTGGATAAAGCAAACCATTCAGAGTTTGTAATTAATAAATTACAGGTTGAAACACACCACAATATCTACTTCAGGTTGATCAGTCAGGTAGTATGACTAGTCCTTAAACACCATCAATATACATCAAAGTCGAAATACATAAATGTTTACATTAGGCATACATTTACAGTTTGAAAGTATTACATAAAGATAATCATTAGGAAAACTATCAAACCTTTATTATGAATGAAAGTGATCAAATTTTCATATCAGTGTGTATAGTTGTTTAACAAATTAATCAACAATTAAGACGTTGAGTTAGGTGGAAAAAAGTAAACTTCATTAGTTTTTAAAAACATAATATTAGAAAGAAGTGCGTAATTTAGTACGTTTTACTTTGATACAAATTTAGCACTAATAATTCCGTCTTAAAATGTAACTACTTTTGAGAAAGTTACTAAGAGAATGGAATTAACAGACTTGAAATATATGGTTCTAATAAATGATATTATAGGACAGGAGGACTACCAACGACCTGGATTATTTGCATTGAGTTAACCTGTCAATTTCTTGAATTGTTCACTGTAATCTAAACATTTATTGTCATCTATTGACCAGATATACATTTTTATCCATTAAGCTTTAAGATATACATAGTATAAGAGATAATTCCTGACGTAAATGCTACATGGTGGCCAAGTTTAGATTATGGCTTGATCGACCAATATAGGCTGGAACATTCGTCCCTTTGAGTCGTACCGAGTCGTTTGGAAAATAATAAGACTAAAAGCAGCAAACTTTTGTTCCGGGGGCGAAGTCGTACCGTGGATTGTGCTAAGGTATAACAGCAGTAGGGTCTTCTCTCAGTTAACTAGCATCTGTAGCCATACTGCACTCTCACAAAGACGGTAGAGGGTCATAAAAAATTGGAACTAAAATTATGACACCAAACATTGAACCACAGACTTCCGTTGGCCACGATAAGGTATTAAAAGTAAGAAGCTAACATATCCAAAGCTACTCACTTAAATGTCGTGTGTGAAAGGCCTCGAGTATTTATCTCTTCGACACTGCAGTCATCAATCATCTCATAAAGATCACACCTAACATTCAGTATACTTATCAAGCACCTCACGAGGAAGTTTCTTTAAGCGATGAAAATAACCGAGAATGAATAGGATACATATTTGTATATTGTGCCAGGAACTGGAGACAGGTATCGAAAAAAATGAATAGCACTAAGAGAGAAATGGAAAGAAGAGCCAGGGACAAAACAAGTTGGAGATTCCTGGTCAGCAGGCTATGCCTCAAGAGGGGTAACATAATTTGGGTTTAATTATACATATATATCCTTAACACGCCTAAAATCATGACAAAGATTAAATCCCATTACGTGAAAGTTTATTACAAAAATCATACTAAAGGTATAGTATTGTTTATACAGTGTTATGGAGCGATGGCTTAATGATTATGACGTTTGACTTTTATTCATTAAATTGTGGGATCAAAACTGCCCCAAATATATTGGTTCAGGCAACGGAGCAGCATCGTTTGCCCTTACACCTAGAGCGTACGTGCTGAACAAGTTAATTTACATTAGAAACTACAGTATCGTCATAAGTTATATAGGAGTATCAGGGTTGACCTTAATCCAAAAAAAGATAAATTAATTTGTTATTTAAAAGGATTACGGAAAATAGAGGTTGAATATGATAAGAAAAAACACTCAAATTACAACTATGTTAGAAAGGAGTTAGGTTCAAAAAGCTTTAATGAATAAATCACTGATGAGAAACTTCTTGTTAATTATTCTAATTCTCTTTTGAATGCATTTTTATAAGAACACTTTTAGTGAATTTGTAAGAATGAAATTTTAGATTTTAACTAAGTGATAGTGTTAGATTTTCTTGGTCAATTGTACAGAAAAACACAGAGTAAACAATTAAATAATGAAAAATAATTATACTTCAAAAACTAATAATGAAACGGAAAATATATGATGATAATACATGTAGATAGCAAAATGTGGTCAGCCACCTGTTTAGATACAAGGTTACACATCTTAAGATAAAACACATGTACGTTGGGAGTTAGAGGTAGTCGAAAGGAAAACTGTGCATGACCTAGGTTTTGTGCAAGTTGGCACTCGTCAGCAAGGTATACCTATAAACTTCAGGTAGCTGATATACCCATATCACACAGACATTATCACTGAGCTATCCAGACCGTGAGTGACTATCGTCTTTAGGAATGACATGTATTCACCACTGAGTAGTGAATAATGTCATGTATGTCCAGTATTTCTCAGTCCTAATCAAACTGCGTATTCTAAGTTAGAAGTCGTAAATTATAGAAAATAATAATAACTAAAAGACATAGTAAGTTCAATAATCACCGAGAGAAATTTTAAAAGTGATAATGATTAGAGAAAATGTCACCTACTACTCTATCTGGAGACTGAACAAAATCAGATAAAAAAGAAACTTCACTTCAAAAACAAAAATTTAAATAATCTTTGGATGAAGACAACTATTACTATTACCACCACCAATGAAGTACTAAACAAGAACAAATTCACACACATAAACACATAGAAAGCAATTCTTTTCATTGAAAAAATAAACATTGACATATTTTGTGTATTAAAAGGAATGCAGATAAAATTACTTAACCTTGAATAGTAAGTTGTTAAAAATGGATACCAAATAATTTCAATGGTTGTGAAATTAATCTCTTATTATGGTGGTAATAATATAGACAGATGTGTGAAGATATTATTTTATGCACTCAGAAATAAACATTGTGATTTATTGATTAAAATATAATAATTATGGAAAAAAAGATTTGTAATCAGAGAAACAAGGAAGTATTGTTCAATTATTCTGTTTGTAGTACATAATCATGTGTCCAAGTCTGGTAGCGAGCGCTTAACTATTCAGACTATTGGAGTTGGTATTCAATGGTTTATACTTCTAAATTTGTTCATCATTAAACATTTACACCCTACCAATTATAGTAATTCCGTTGAGTAATGCCTGATGTAACAATGACAATATATATATATATATATATATATATGGGGTTTAATGAACATTCTCAACATTATTTACACTATCATCTATACATGTATATACTCAAAACTGTTCAAATTACCAAGTGGAAATAAGAAAATTCTATGATATTTTGAAGTGATATAAACAAAACAAGAGAAATGCTATATAAAAGTCATGCATAAGATCAATATGAAAATCTACAATAAACTGCTTTTTTTATTGTTGATTAAAATGAAAATACACCAACGGATAAATATTACAAAAACACAGAACTGTAACACAACAACCATAAAAAATAATCAGTAAATCCACTTACCAACAGCTGCTTGAGCTATACCAACATGAAATTAATTATAATAACACATAAATATGATGAAATATATATCTTGCTTCCTAATAGAATTGCTACACTAAGAATTATGCTTATATATATGTTATTAACCATTAGTATGAATGAGTGTGGGTGTAGTAGTAGTAGTAGTAGTAGTAGTAGTAAAAAGAAACAAAACACAATTTAAAATTGGTATTCTCATTAACTAACTCTATAAAAAGCAACGAAACAGAAAAAAAAAGCACAAACCTGGTTATGTAGATAAAGTTATAAATATACGTGTATATATGGATGTATAAGTAACTAACACGTTGGAAAGAGAGTAAAACAAAATACACACAACACAAAAGAAGATTGAATATATATATATTGACTAGCTTGCAAAAATTAGAGTGAGGGGAAGATATCTAGTTAATACTAGTTACAATCATATTTTTAAAAAACTTCAGATGAAGATATTGAAGGCGAGGACAAGAAGATGGACAATAAAGAAACCATGAAAATGTGTTTGTAATTGTTATATTGATTTTTTTGTCTTGTATATAAAAATAAAACACAAGTCGGTTTTCAATGTTATGAAAGATTAGATGGTACATTTATGTATATGATGATGAGTACAGTTTCGTACTCAGATCATGAATTTGCCCTTTTCAGTTCTACTAATATTCAACCAACTTATCTGATATATTAGGAACTAAATAAATAAATATTTCAGCCAATATAAATCGAGCGAATCCTCATGATATACAAACTGGACGACCATATGAACGTGACAGTTACGATTGGATGAAACACAGGTAGATGGCATTGTCTTAAGAGCCGAGAAACAACTCAAATTTTATTCAGGATACACAAAAACCTGTTGTGTTTTCTGGGTTACATGACTTGGTCGTGAGGCTTTTACTGAATTTCAATATGAAATCATCATGATTAACAGGGTAGAAATAAAAGAACTATGGTATTATAACATGTCAAGTTAAAAACAGTTCGCTCTGCAGACATAGTATACTAGGAATTATTGTTCATACAACCAATCAAATCCAATGTCTATAGAAGCTGTTATTAACTATACAAACTAGTATGACCTCAGCTACAAATTTGCTTCATCAGCTTGTAGGAATTCGAATTTCGATGACGGGAAAAAGCTTATATTACAACAATTTCAAAAACATATTTAACCAACAAATTCATGGAGGGAGGTCAGTATTTAGCTTTATTAAGCATAACTGATACACCACCTACAATTGACAACAGACACAAAGCTAATTGTGTGATAAAAATTTTGCAAACGAATTGTACATTAACAAGATTTTTTCAATTTATAAGATGAAGAGAAAATAGTTAAACAAAGTGACACCAGGAATCAATCAATTGAAAGGATTATTAATGACTACTAATTTAAGTCGGCGAAAGTTTCCTTTTCAGTGTGTTGTATGTATATACATGTTATTATGTAATGCTCTTTTCAAGTGCTTTGAAGTGAACAATTCACTCATGCGTACCCATACGACTGGAAATATACATTGAAACAAATACACGTAAAACTTAGACAAAACAATCGATGATCTATAGTGAACAACGTTAAGAAAAACAGACAAACAAATAATGATTTACCACATGATAAGATGATTGACATAACAAGAAAACAAGAATTCGAAATATAATATGAGCATATATAGATACGACTGAACTATTTACCAACAATAGACTTAGGTTAAGCTATAGATATTTCAATATTACAAGGTATGTACAGAAAAACTAACATTCCAGGTATCAAATTTTCACCTTATACGGGTTTATAACGGGGAACACAAGATTCAAACAAAACATATATGATATTGTTATGAAATAAAGGATTATTATTAGTCATTAGAAACTAGGAGACGAAGATTATATATGAGGGAGAAAATAATAATAAAATCCATAAACGATGACACCAGGTCAAAAGGTAAGCATGTTGGTTGTGTGGTAAGGGAAAAAAATACGCACCCATATGAACATATCGCCTGAATCGTGATGTATGCGGTCCAAAAACATTCGGTTCATCAACTAGAAAGGAAATCAATCAATCAAAAAGGCCAAACGTACAAAAAGTATTTAAAAAAACGTAATAATACTTAAGTGTTATGTAGGGTTATTGTATATCAAGTTTAATGTTGTATAAGTTCGACTAACATGATTTCAGTTGTAATTATTCAATATCGAATTATTATTTTCCATATATCAGCATCTTTTTATTGCTAATCTTCAAATGTTCTGTTAATTTGATGTGTCATAGCCTATGCAATCAGCATAATAGTAGAAGATTAGAGAGAAGTATGTTTAATTCCCAAATGTTCAACTGATACAACTAGTAGAGGTAACAAATTCAATAAGTTTTTTTACTTACTTACTTAAAGACATATAGACAGTTTAGTAGAAGGATCATTAATGTTTTTACACAACAAATAGTTCATATTCGCAAATGAATACTTGTAAGTAGATTACTGAGTATTTATTCATTATTTTAACTATTTTAAGAAGTAGACAAACATTACAATTGAGTCTTATATTAATTACTATATGAGATAATCCATTCATAAATTCACTGAAAAATTAACTTTGAGATTCACTTCAGACACAGAGTCATAAATTGATGAGCGTCAGAAAAAGAAAGAAAAAAAAAAGATAATCTGCAATCTTTGCATTCTATGAAGTTCGAATTCATACTACTCAATATAACAGTAAAAAAAACCCTACAATTTAAATGAGACAATTTATTCCGTATGAGTCCATTGATATCCTATAATGTAACATAAATGTAATTGAACACTATTACTTAAATAAGAGAATATATTTACTTTAAATTAAAGAAAATAAAACATTGTTTTTAATATTTTGCTTAAACTGATTTCTCTAAAATTCATTACAATAAATATGATAACACAATACAAGAATTCAAACACCATACTCATTACATGCAAATACAAAGAAGAAAATGAGATGAAGAAAAACAGTGTTTGATAGAATAAAACAATTTGAAACCACTTCAGTGCATAATCAACACAAAAAAAACCAACCTTAAAACAATATACATGCATTTTAGTGTACAGACTAATACATAATAATAATAATAATAATAATAATAATAATAATAATAATAATAATAATAATAATAATAATGATAATAATCGCTAGTGTAATTAAAGTATCCAGTGCTTTCAAACTAGGAATAAACTAACAGATGATTATATGTCAACAGTTGACAAAGTATGGTTTTTGTAAGCAAAACAACCGTTATAATAAGTAAAGTTGAATAATGGTTAACAGTGGAATCCAAAACATCTGTTTTGTTCTATTTCGAACTCGTACCTGTTAGTCACTAATCTAACTTTAATTTTTTTTAAAAAAACGTGTGACATAACAATATTATCGAAGCTATCAATTGACGATGTATATACCTCAACAACAGACCAATCAATTTCAGTTCATAACATTAACAACAAGGGAATGATTTACACCATTGAAAATAAAGTTGACACTAGGTTAATTTTGTACAACATAAATTTATCTTATGTTTGACAGAAAACCAGCAGGATACATTTTATTCACACATCTTATTAATATTAAGTTAGAAAAAAGAACAAAATGTCTATTAAACAGACAAACTTCTGCTGGGTTTCTAGAGTCTCATTCAAAGGACATTTTTGGACTTTCAACAAGAACAGTTATTAGTAGACAGCTTAAGATGAGTATTGCCTCAAATTGCTACACCTAACATTACTAGGTATGTTAATTAGCTTGTAAACCACATCACATTTTGAATAAAAAGCAGGCTTGACTTGGACATTTATAAGGAATTTACTAAAGACACCGATTGGCTTGATATTTTTCTGTTTATAGGATAATTATAGAAGGCTTATAACAATACGAAAATGACTTAATGGTTTAGGATATACAATTTTATTCAAAACCCTATATCAGACAAAAAGTGAATATACAAGCAATAGACAACAATAAATAATAAGGAAATTAAAAATGATCCTGATTAGAAAACCAATCAATAGAAGGGATTTTAATTTAATACGATCAGTTATAGAGAACTTGGAAACAATGGAAATTAAGTACACTGTATAATTACAACGTTTCTTAGATCTGGAAGAATCATACATAAATTAAACAAACAATGAAGAGGCATATACACAACGCAATCATTTATATTTTAAACCCTAATTTCATTTAGGGATAGAAAACGTTTGTGAAACTTAGCTCTCCTAGAGTTACTGATGCTCCCAGGCCCACACAAAGGAGGAGGGTTGGACATATTGTCGGAAAGCCCATCCCGTAGAAAAAAACCATGCGAACTAAACGCCAACCAGATTAAACAAATTAAACCATTTCAACTCTGCGCTCTGAGTTCAGGGAGGAATTATGACACCTCATAATGAAAACCGAGATTCTTCGGAAGTCACGAGGCCGAGGCCGCTTCTACTAACCACAACACTAACAATTTTTATAGGTACATGGAACGTCCGGATAATGTTGGAGACCGGGAAGACTAGTTAAATAGTAACGGAAATGAGTAATTACAACTTGACAGTACTCGGAATCAGTAAAACCCATTGGACCCGACCTGGACAGCAAAGGCTAAATACGGGAGAGATGCTGTTGTACTACAGTCACGAAATGCTCTACACACTCAAGGAGTTACTCTGATGCTGTCCTGATGGGAGACCTAAACAAAAATTCAGGTTGGATAACAACGGTTATGAAGATATCATGCGACAACATTTACTGGGGGAGAGAAACGAAAATGTTGAGATTTGCAAATTTATGCGCATTCAACAAAGTGGTTATAGGCGGTACAATATTCCCACACAAACGCGTATACAAAGCTACATGTATCTCACCGGATCACACTACGGACAATCAGATAGATGATATTTGCATCGGTAAAAAATTCACAAGGACAATGGAAGGCGTGGGAAAAAAAGAGAGAAGATGACATAGATTCAGATCACCACCTGGCTGTGGCAAAGATGAAACTGAAGCTAAAAAGACACTGGACAGCAGGGGAAACAGCAGTACAAAGGTTCAGTACAGACATCCTTCGAGATACTGGCAAACTCAACCAATTCAAGATAACTTTTAACAGGTTCCCAGCCTTTACAGAATCTACTTAAAGAAGAAACTACGATGGAGGACAACTGGAAAGGGGTCAATGAAGCACTAACTTCAGCATATCAGGTGTTGGAACGCAACTAGCATAATCGAAAGGGATGGATCTCTATCGAAACGCTGGACAAGATTCAAGAGTGGAAGAACAAGGAAATGATAATCAGCATCAGACGAACAAGAGCAGAAAAAGTCAAGGCACAAGCTGAATATACAGAAGTAATTATGAACTCAAGATTAGGGTGTATGAACATGTACCTAAATGGTTTCAGAAACAAATAGAATCAAATGACCCAATGAGAGTAGAAGATAAACATCCATCATCCTCTATTGCCAAAAACATAATTGAAACAAGTCGTAAGATTGATCTTAACTCGGCTTTTGTAGCGTTGTGCAAAAGTGTCATAGGGTGTATACTAAGGTTTATGGAAGCCTTAGCCAGAAGAAAATCCAAACCCCCTTCGTCTATTTAGAAACAGTTCTTTCTCACTTTAAAGCTACCATGGTAATATTGTTCTCACATTATTTCTTCATTATCCTTGTTTTCTATTACTTATTTCTAGTCTAGTTGACCTTAGCAAGTATATAATGTGTGGTCAGATTATTCGAAATATATTGCGCTAATTTATCATCACATAGTTCTGATAATCTTCGTCTTCTTATTACACGATCGAAATTTATCAAATGTACTAATTGCTTTAGCTTTTTATCCTTAAATATAAACAAGATTTCCAGTTCATTTAGTTATATCACCTTTAAAATAATCTGGCTACAGTACAAACACAAACAAGGAATCGAAAAATACAGTGAGATATTTTTCTTCGATCAATGTAGACTACCATTTAAAACCTGGAGGTACTGAACGGCCGTTCCACCCCAATGAGACTCTTGAGCAATGCTTCCACGTTTTCAGTGGTGGTATAACATTGAACATCTCATTATGTCAGTCAAAACTCAACAATCTACACAAACCTATACAAATAGAAAGGATATTTTTCTGTCTATTCTTATTATCAAAAATGTATGATTTCACTTAATTCACTATTTGTGAAGTACTAACATTTAGTTTAGTCCTTAATTTATTCTATAAACCATAAGCTTTCGTTTGATGTATTATTCATTGCCATACCCTATTCTGTTTCAAAGCTATTGTGATTTAAACGTAACGTTTGGTACTCCATTTTTCTATCCTAATCTCCATTCTGGACAGAATGTATTTTTCCAAATGCTTTTTCGTTGTGGTCATTTTATTCATCTATTTATTTATATATCTTTTTACACTGATCTAAATCGGAATGAATGTTCTAGTTGAGTCGTCTTCTCTATCGCTTGTCAACCGGTCAGGTGATATGGTTTTCGTCTCTCTACCCAAGGCTGTTAGTTGAAGTTCACATTCATGCAATTCTAGCCTCGAGGTTGAAGAAGTTTGTATATTATTGGGTAGACAGATCAAGGACGTTACATATGCGATACATTGAGAAACATAGCGAATAAACTTGTGTAAATCCATTAGCTATTTGGACCCATATCTGTTATAAAGTTGTGAAACCAAGTAACATCGTGAATTAAAGTGGACAAACAAAATTTATTTACTGACTTTATACTGACCCTTGATAAAACCATACAGTTCTTAATATTAGATTAAGAGATACAACTTTTGCAGGAGGAGAGAAACTGATTCTGGGTAGATTTACTTGATCTAAATCAACATGGTACTTTAAACAATAATTCATCTTTGTTGCTTAATGCTTTACATACGACGAAAATAACTTTCTCTAGTGGTTTAATATATATGGGTAAAATTTCAAAAAAGAAAATACAGTAAGATTTCATCCAATAATTTCTATAGTTTAATGTAGTAAGCTTTTGAAAAACAATAATTATCTATATGATTTATGGTTTACATTACGGAATGACCCCGATTAAAAACTAGAAAGCAATGGACAGCTGTTTCGTTCTAGTATAGAGCGAATTGAGGGTGAGCATAAACGATCCCACAAAGTGTCAAACTCAGGACCTTCAAGTCTTACGGTAAGGGCTATCCAATATTTAGCTGACGAGCGATGACGGCTGATGTAAAAATAGACTGAAAGAAAGCTAGAGGCATCCAAACCAAAATGTGGTTCATGAATTCATTAACAATTAGACTGAAACATGTAGGTAGGTGCGGACTATCTCGTTAGTGTAATCCCGTCCGTGTAATTATCGTCAGCAATGGTTACAGGCTGATATGGCTCAAAATTATTCTCAATAACACGGTTGAACTCACTCTTTGTATTCCCTTAGATCTTAGGTTTCCAAATTATCTCATAACTTGTTTATTTTACGAATCCACATTGTTTCTCGAATTATATCTTATATACCCATTTTTCCCTACTATCACCAATACTATTAATACCCTTACAACTCTAGGACTTGTCTCGATAATTTTATTTCGCTCTGCTAATGTGGTAGGACAACTAGGACCAATGCATATATGTACGCAGTTCTACGATGAGCAAAACTGACTGATTTTAAACAAATGAATATGTTTTGTAGAATAGCTTCAAGCTGTACACACCGATATCTAAAGTATAATATAAAGAGGTATACTTAGAAAAGTCACATATTTGACGGAAGCGATAAATGCAAACATAAACTACCAATAATTTTAAGATAATATTGATACATCTTGGTACTTGAACAGTTTGACACCGACTTTTTAACCGCTGGAAATTTATAGACTCTTCAGTATGCTAACATCAAGGAGTCAAAAATGCAAAAGCGGTCAATTTTATACAGTCTCTTTTTTGGATCAAGAATACCAAACTACGGGGTTTTATACAATATCAACACAGACTAAAAAGCACTTGATGTTAAATCTGCTATGTCCATTAAGATAACTGAATCGACTAGCTAAAAAAGAATACGGCTAGATGAAAACGTTCAACTAAACGAAATAATATTTACCTAGAAATAAAAAATAAACAATATCTATCACATTATGCAGTAGAAAACTAATAAACAAATGAAATTGACAGAAAAGAATAAATAATTTCACAAGGTAGTGAATAATACTAGTAAATGTCTCGAAATCTCGTCCTTGTTCTATGAAAGAAAACAGAAACAAATATATATATATATATATATATATATATATATATATATATATATATATAACGGGATTTAATAGTATGTCAATGAAAATAACCTGTATATTGATATTTTACAGGTTTCCGAGGTAAAATCAAAATACTATCTATTACTATCCCTACTTTGATGATGAAAAAGCAAGAAAAAGTCAATGAGCTCATGGTGTATGTAACCGCAGTCGGGAGCGGAATCCCTAGCAGCAGAAGATTAAATTCAAGAGAACAGAAAGGATACAGTAAAGGAATCAAAATAACAACAGAATTAGAGGAATAATGGAGTATTTAAAAGGATAACGTCAAGATATGCAAATGATGTATTTCACGAATGATTTTCATATTTTACTGGGTAACTTTGCATTAGGCGATAAATTGGTTTCCCCCAGCTGAATTCTCGTTCACTACAATGTAACTGGTGATCTATTGAAAAACCGTTGGGAGAAGTCAAACCAAAAGACATTTAACGCAACAAATCATAGTATATTCATCTTCGAAGCCATCGTTTACAAAATCCAGTCAAAGATGTTAAAGAACTATATGCCTAAACTTATTTTGTGCTATATATATATATATATATATATATATATATACGACTGTACAATAATAAAAGTGAACTTATTGACAAAAGAAGTTTGACAGTTACGTATACACCAATATTAGATGATACATAATTGACAAACATTTAATTAACTGAAGGCAACAATGGCTTTTTTTCCCATTTGAACACATTCACTAACTAACCAACTATATTAAAGTAATGAAAACTGTTTGAATTGTTTACCCAATAGAAAACAGAACTAAATCAAATAATAAGTACTGTCTGGATGTAGACCACAACGACACACAGAGTGTTCTTATGATGACAAACAAAAAATTACTTTGGTCTGGAAATCTTTTGTAAATTTTGTAGTTTGATTTTGAACTACCAGTTAAACACAGGTAATAAGTTTTATATGGAAAATCTACTTCAGATAATCAATAAATATTGTTTTTATTTTTTCTTTATTTTAACATATAAACATCGGTACAAGGAGGGACCAAATACATATGCGCCACACAAATCTCATTCGATATGTGTGAGGGCTGTGATACTGCGTGGGTGCCCAGACCGAAGCAGGAGGCATTTTTAGGAGGCCATACCCCGAGCCTTCGGCCCGAAGGTATGATCCATAAGGCAGTGGAGCATCATCAGGATATGTAGTCTTATGGAAGCCGGTGACCAACGACTGGCTCATACGCCATTTGTTTCCGCAGGATACTGGAGCCCATGTGCACTATTGGTTTGGAAGCTGGCTAAAGCGCCAGACATTCGCTTTTCGTCCTCTCATTTTCATAAACACACGCGCCACGAGAAGGCAGTGAGTAGGACTTCCCTGGCAGAGGCTGTATACACGTAGCCAAGTGAGAGCATTTCGAGAGGGGAAGCGAATTCTCACCACTCTCAGCCGTACTAGGGCATTTGGGAGTAATAAATATCGTAATTCCATTTGATTACATAAAATGATTAAAAGAATAGGAAAATCATTCTCTTTGAATCATATTATTTGTACATAATATTTTTCATACCATCGCAAATAATTCTATTAATTTGATATTCATTTTGATAATCTGATCTTATTGTGCTAATATGATGTGGCAAATTGGACTGATGTACATATGTAGTAGATAGAGTCAATGTTGGTTAATTACAACGAACCTGAATTTTGTATTTAACAAGAATCAGTAACTAACCTAGATAGCGTGAAGTTTCTAATTATGATTATAATTTAATGAGTCTGGCTATTCTCTAATCTTTAAAAAAAAAACGTTCTGTTGTTTTATTTTTTGAATATCTTGATATTTATATAACAAAACAAACATAATTACAATTATTTGCTAAAAGAAATACCTTAAAACTCTGAAATTCTTTTTTTATTTCAAGAGTGTTAATACTCTTGTAATTTACTTCATCGATTGTTTATGGTTAGACAAAAGTTGAGAATCAAGAAGCACCGTACAATTGTTTTAGCCTTTAAGTACAGTACACCTGTAAACACATAAACTGAAGGTGTCGGTAAAAAAATATATTGATCATAGGTTTTCCAAAGAACATTTTCTGAATATAATCAAATAATCACCATGATTAATTATTAGAACATAAGATATTTCGTGTAACATTGAAAATTGAAAATCAACTCATCAAATTCAAATAACTTTAAATGTACACAGTTGAAGGGCTGAAGGTGGGGAGAGTCAGCTCTCTCCCTCTCCAAATGCTCTCACATGGCCACACGTATACAGCCACTAACAGAGAAGTCTTATTCATTGCCTCCTTGTGGTGGGAGTGTTATTTACCAAATTGAGAGGAAAAAAGAGAATGTCCGGCGCTCCAAAATAAACATATTCGGAAAGATTTAATGATTAACAATTGCATTATGTAGTTAAATGCTTTACTTGTTCTCCTATACAATACTGATAAGTGGAATTTTGTGATAAATACACAAAGTTCAACTGTTCGACTTCCGAACAAAAAAACTGTTCACCTAAAGCTTGCCTTCTTAAAAAATAATAATATCAACTTCAAAATAAGATTACAAAGATTTATTTGATAAGGAACTGTTCAATAAAAGGAAGAACAATTTACGCGTAAGAACTTACGAGACTGTATACGTTTGAAAACTGTACGACCAATAAACTCTTGAAAACGTTGAGCATAATATAACGGATGTGTGACAGAAATAGTTTTCTAGTAATTTAACAATAAAAATGAGAAAATGAGAGAAATAGTTCAGATCAAGTGGAAATATGGATAACTGATACAGGGGGACTATAATTTATGGACGACCTTCAAAAGAAACCATCCGACTCCAAGATTTCAAAATTTCAACATCCTAGTCCTGAGCTATAACTATTCCCCATCATCTCTCAATTTAAACAAACGCTTTAACAATCAGTAATGAGAGATGAACAAATTGAATGAAAATTTAAAAATAGAAATACTAACAGGAATTATTAAGAAATCAAGTTGTTCTTCTAAACATAACAACTGATTATCCTAACGATATTATTCAAATGTGAAACCAACAGTGAAGAATGCATACAACCCAGAATAGATATAAAATTCATAGTACTTACTCCATCAGCTACCAAAGATTTGAAACCATGTTCCATTTTCTTTAAAATTCGATAACTTTGTAAAATATCAATAACACCAATATACAACAACAATCGATCACCGTTAGTATCACGTGCGGGAATACCTCCAGATCTAACAGAATTTTAGTCAAAATAAAAAAGATGTACGATGATAATAAAACGATACCTGAGAAATATCATTGCAAAACAGTTTCATGTTAACTTTTCCAATGAAACATATATATACATACGTGAGTAACGAAGAATGCACACATTTGTTTAAGTATAACTTCAGTGTTTCTTTTTCTACAAGGTTTGGATTGATCTTTTTCATGTTACAAGAAAAATCAGATAGATGATAGATGGAAACTAGTGTATCGACCAGTTTCGAATATTGAATGGATTTTGTTGACAAGGAATGAGGTTTAAAAATAAACAAAAGAGAGAGATGATGTCTTCAATACGATTTATGCGTGTTGTAGAAATCTAATAAGCTACGCAATTATCAAACAATTTGCAAGTATAAACCGGTAGAAAACACAAACATACATAAAACGGTGTCTATTTGTTACGAAAAGGAAACTGATATAAGTAAATTTATCATTAATTCAAAAAAAGTAAATCTGATTTGGCGCTTTATATTATTAACTGACTACATATGATGAACAGCTTATAAGTGATATTCCAGAAATTCCAGTAAAAAATTGTGAGCGCTGGAATCCAAACGTGTTAAAAGAAAAACTTATGTTTGACATAAGACCATCATCAATTTATATCGTGACTGAAAGTGAAATTGTACCCCTGAATGCTAACACACTGCTCTAAGGGTTAAGAGTTCGCCATAAGATCCGAAGGTCCTAGGTTTGATCTTTGGAGGTAGTGGGTTTTCATTACTTAGGAGTTCAATACTGGAAAGAAATAGCTGTTCAGTGCTTCTTGGCTTTCATTGATCTCACAATAGAGATTAACTTGTGATAGACAACCTATTGACGTTATTAATAGTAGTTTAATGACTAATTACAATACTGAGTGAAAACAGTTGAATATAAATTATGTACGCAGATTTACACAATTCAATCCAACACACACAATGATTTCTACAATATTCAACATTTTTTTTCATAGGGAACTGGTAATAAAGAAAAGTGTTATGATAATGACTAATAGCTAATGCAACTAAAATGAGAGCTGAAAATATATCGATCTGCATGATTTGATTACTCATGAGTAGTAGCAATAAAATGGAGTAAACAACCAGCCACGTCTTCAGTGTTCAAGTCAGTGGCTAGTATATGTTGTGAAAAAAATCGTGATTAAGCACAAGATGGTGCCAGTATAAGGAAAATAAGAGCAGGGTTCCTACAATTGACGAGCATATGGAACTCAAAACAACTGTAAGTCAACATATAAGTCAGAATCTTCAGCACGAACGTCAATATAGTCCTACTTGGCGGAGTTGAAACTGAGAACTACTATAACCATCATCAGAAAAATATAGGTACTTCAGTGGGAACAGTTGTCTATACAAGATACTTAAGATTCGTTTGCAAGACACCATCAGCAGCAACTTCCTGTGGCAGAGAACAAACTAACTTCCAGTTGAAGAGGAATTTGGGTACAGACGCTGGAGGTGGACTGGACATATATTGCGAAAATCATCAAACTGCATCACGAGGAAACCCCTAGCTTGGAATCTTGTAGGAAAAAGGAAAAGATGAAGATCCAAGAACACATTGCGTCGGAAATTGGAGGAGAGTATAGAAAGAATGAATAGTGATTCAGAACAACTGGAAAGGAGAGACCAGGACATAGTTGGAGAATCTTGGTCGAAAGGTTTATGCTCCGCGAGGGGTTACAAGTATAGGTAAGTCGATGAGAGTAATGCTCTATCTTATTGCCAGAAACCAAAACTACCAAAAACCACGAGTTTTTAATCGAAAAATATCCAAAGGAAATACTTACTGTAAATTACAGGAACTGTTTGAAACATACATCTATTATTTTTCAAGTAAGAAACACTAGACTACATTTGTTGGCAAACGATACCTTTATAAATAATTTCCACATTTCATTTCCCTCTAATGGGGAGCCAAAAAAGCAAAGCAAAAAGAGTAAAATCAAAAATTGATAGTCAAACATACGGAATAAGTTCACGTTCTTCTGATTCCAATTCAACCGGTTCTGAGCTTGCTTTAATGGATTCCATAGCAGTACAATAAGCAACAACACGTTTCTGTGAATGTGATTTATGTACGCCGCGTTGAAACACCGATTTATCCTCTTCATCATTGTTAGTAATATGATCACTTGGTGTTTTTATTTCATCATCAACACCAGATGTGAAATGAGCATGACGTGTAGGTAGTTGTGAACCGTTTGGAGAAGATGGTGATGTTTTATTACTGCTCTCATTGACAGCACCTATAAGTCCACCAATACCTACACCATTTGATGGTGAAGTAGACCGATCAGTGTTATTTCCATTACTCTTATTAGAAATATGTGATACTAATCCGTTGGATTTAATTTTTGGGATTGAATTCGGAGATAAGTCAGACGACTCATCACCTGTTTATAGTAGAGAATATATATATGTACATATATTGAGATTAAACTGCATCAGTATTTATGCACAAAATAGTTTAAACTACTTGAAACTCAAGTGCATTGTCAATACATGTTAGGAAATGTATCGAACATAAACAAAGAAATCTATTGTATGGTACTATATTCATGTATTATTTTTATTTATTTATCTACTACAGATGCAATACTACTAAATTTGTGTGAATTATTATTGAACTGATCAAAATATTCAATACATCAATCCTTAGGTTAAAGTAGGTACGCCAAATTGAATACTATGAAATAAACGTATGTGCTAAGTACATGAAAACCCACTCCAATTGTTAAAACAGTGAGTTGAACTTTTGCGAAGGAGGACACAAACGCGCGATTGTACGAAAGCTATTCAAGTGAAAGACAAGAGACTTAAGAAAACTCCTCGAAAAAAACTCCAAAAATAGGCTCTGAAAACGCTGAGAAGCATCTTATCCAATCAGCACTTAACAGAAGTTTTGCCAGAAACTTCTACAAAAAGAAAAGTCACGTCGTGTTTCTGATTGGATGATTACCTATACTACTACTACTATGTTTAGTAGCGTTCCAGAATTTTCCGGAAGCCCGAGGCCATTTAAAATGCTATAAGAACCCTAGATTTTCTGTACATAAACGAACCTTTGAAGTTAAGTGTTTTCTTCCTTATTTCGCGCCTTTTCTCTCGCGTTCAAGTTGCTGTGTAGATTTAGCCTGGGGGTTACTAGAGAACTTGAGAAACCGAATCTAGCGCTCAATTAGAAGACTTATCAATCCCTGTATCTCAGTTATCTCATACTAAAACTGAAACAGGAGATGTTAAGAAGTATAAAACTCAAAAAGTCGGTTTAATCTTACAATATTTGTAGATCGTGTTTATTCAGTTACTTATTGATTAACCGGTGACAAAAATGTTACTAATTATTCAAAACCAGATCCTTAATCAATTTTTAAAAAAACCTTCATCGAACATAAATGTTTTCCTTCTCTCTCCATGCATGAAGTTAAAGTAGTTATTTTTTAGTCGTAATATGTATATTACAAATGCATTCAAATTATTTCAGCAAGTTAACACCGCTGATAAACTGGTGAGTCTCGTTGCTGAGAACCAGAAATTAAAAATCACATAAACCGCTAAGTCTGAAATGTCTTTGAAAAATCTAAAATAATTCGTACAGAGATGATGATGATCACAGCTGGGAGAACGTGAATTCAATTAGCGACATCGATTGCTTTAGGCGATATAATTCAGTGACCAAACCACAAAGTCATTTCGAGATACAGTGAGTAGCATTGAATTTATGCAGCTCAAACGGTAGAAAATAAGTGTTTAACCAGAGCAGGATATTCATTAATTTAAATAAGGTCCATATATTACTGTAAAGCGGAACATTGCACTAAAAAATTTTGAATTCATTTGCCAACATAATTATCACCTACCATTATTAATTACATAGGATAATGTATAAATTGTTCAATTAATTTAGACCTTATGTAGTAAAGTAAACAATAAACACCTACCATGTTCATTTACAGTAGATTGTTTTTCAGATGCATGTTTTTGAGCGAGCTAAATGATATGGAAGCAAAAAAGAAAAGAAAATTGGAAGGAATTTATACATAACCATGTAATCACAATTTAGTGTTTAAAGAGTAATGATAATAAGCTATTTCCAAATAGTAGCTCAGTGGATAAACTCATTGAGCGTCTAAAATGAAAAATACTGAATTCGACAAACATTAGTGTGAAGTTATATATATCGTTGAACTCAGTTAATTAATCATAAACCGCGTTGCTCTTAAATCTTGATGCCATTGTGGTATTTTTAGACTATTGAATAGGGAAATAATGGTCAACATTTTTAGCTTCAGTTAATTTTCCCGATAAACCATGATCACAATTTAATACTGTCTGGTTTACGTCAGTTCATAGTGAAAATTACAGGATTGAACGAATATCTAAAAATAGGCGAACTGTAAGAGCCATTCACCTCTGTAAATAACACGAAATGGTACAGGATTCCAATTTTAGTGTGAACATTAACAATTGGATGGGGTTACATCTAGCTAGAGACTCTGATCGATCTTAATTATGACGTTAAATATGTTATTTTCTCTAGTTGTTTCTCAGGTTTCAAATTAAACTTCATTGATTATAGTAAAACTTTTCAGAACAATATTACAAATATAAATTTAGGCTGTTTTTAGCTGATGCGAAGCCTTGAAATACAATGAATTCATGTTATTCTACAAATCTTGTCCTCCTTGCTTTGATTAAATTTAACAACAGATCAGGATGTATGAAATAATATTTTATTTCCGAAGGAATTAACCAAGTGAAAATAATTAATTTGAAATATCAAAATTATACAATAATCAGTGTTGTGTCTACCACCAAATGGTCAATTAGTTACAACGTAGAACCTGACATTTATGTGCATCGGTTCAAGTTGGCATACACCGTTAGCACAGAGAGATGAAATTGTTAAGCCAAATCTCAGAATACTTGAGGTAGTAATAATGTTAGTAGTGATAGAAAAGATTAGGCATAAAAGATACGATTCAAGAAAAGATAAATTAGTGAAATAAAAAAAGTTAAGAGAAATTCGGAATCTCAGAAAGAGGGGGAAGAAAAGAATGGGTGCATGTGCGTCATTTTGAGCCATGTCAAGTCTCTAACCATTGGTTACGTTGATTACGTGGACCCCAGGTAGTCCATACCGACTAATATGGCTAAGTCCAATTTTCAATAATTTCATGGACCGAAGCTATGTCTTGGTTTGGCCCCCCGTAGCTTTATTCTAGCCTTGCTATGGTTGAAGCTATCACGAGTTTACTTAATCTGCGAATGAGAACAAAGGCTCGGTGACCAAAGACCAGTAAGCTAGCTATTTGATGCGTCCCAGCCCCGCTAACAAGAGGAAGAAGTCCAAGCTTGAAATGGGGAAGTATATTCTGCAAACAGCCAGAAACGAGCGATAACAACACAATTCAAAACATATATATACAATACAAAACCGTCCTTGGGGAGAGTTACCAAATAGCATACTAAAAGACTCAACGGACCAATAGCATTTAACATATTTCCCAGTGGGAAATACAACATGAAGGTGACAAGAGCGCTTTTGGCGCGAAAACAAAGAAATTCAAATTTTTTAAATAAAATTACAAAACTAGGTCCTTTCCCAAGTGACTTCTAGTGATCTAACGTCCCGAACAAGCCTACTCCTACAACAGAAAATCGCCCGTCAAGGTAGGCGGTGACTAGGCATTCATAACACATCTACCGACGTCAGTTGACGAGCATTTAATACCTAATCAATTGATTTACCATCCTTACCTAGTACCCTATTTCTAACCCAGGCATTGCTTGAATACCAGTAACCTACGAATGTCCTCCATATCATGGACCACTAGTACTTCCACAATATCATTACCAACTGAGAAAGGGTAAAACTATCGGTGTCCTAAAACTTACCTGTTTATAAAGGACGAGAAAAATAATGAGTAAAATTACGTGTTAGTCCACTCCCTTCTTTCACTATACACTAAAATGTACTTAGAAGAGAGTTAAAGCATTTTTGTAGTAATTGATAAAAATACTTTACTATTATTTTATAGCAACTGAGGAGTAACGTAAAAATTAATTTCATTTTTCGTCACATCCCTCTATCAATCTATTTGATCTAACTAGATCAATAAAAATAGAACCAAGCACCAATCAGAGAAAGACAATAATAAATCTTGGCATGATAACAGCAACAAGAAAAGAGAAAGTAAGAAAAGAGGAAGAAAAAAAGTAGTGAAAACCAAAATGAGGTTAGTAAAATAAACACAGACTTTAGACGGCGTAAACCGACCAAATTGATTGAAACAAATAATTAATATCAATGGTTAAGATCATGAGTCAGTTGAAGCTAGACCACCATGGAAAACCTGGAAGCACTGGACGGCCGTTTCGTCCTGGTATGGGACTCCTCAGCAGTGCGCATCCACGATCCCGCACCACGCGGGGCTCGAACCCAGGACCTACTGGCTTCGCGCGCGAGCACTTAACCACTAGACCACTGAGCCGGCATCCAACGGGTTCGAGCCCCGCGTGGTGCGGGTTCGTGGGTGCGCACTGCTGAGGAGTCCCATACCAGGACGAAACGGCCGCCCAGTGCTTCCAGGTTTTCCATGGTGGTCTAGCTTCAACTGACTCATGATCTTAACCATTGAAATTACTACAATCTCCACAAAAACCCATCTGAAAATAATTAATAATTGAAAACTAACAAAAAAGAAGTATGTATTGAACTGTAATTTATTACATGAAGGGACCTATTTTCTACAACAAATGCAAATAATGTGAATAGTATGCACATACAAGTATTACTGTAAAATAATTCTATACTTTGGTTGGTTATTTGATACATATATACATATAGATGATGAGAAGAAAAAAAACGTAGAAATAACCCCATTCTACATTTTAATGGTACCCGGTGTATCACATGTTATAGAATTTGATAAAAAAAACAATTTACAAATTGTCGGAAGATTTTATTATCAACAGCTGATTTGTTGAATTCATGTTAAAGAGATAGAAATTTTAATCTAAATAAGTAAATAGTCAATTCACATGGAATTGTTTCGATTATGTAAAGGTTACAATACAACTCAATAATTGTGATATCTGCGTGTTGATTAAATGAAATGTATGTGATAATATATCAAGCTGTTCATAGTGTACTAATCGGAATATATTAGGATGGTTTGTGCAAATATGATGTGTAAGTCTCTAGTTGAATCACAAAATTACAGATATTTCCACAAAAAGTATAATAGACAAAATTGAACAAGATAGAATTGGATACCTAGTAAAATAAATATGTGGAGACAGAAAATAATACTCTGGGCTAATCAGACATATTACATGCCAGTTCAAGGTCGAATGATAGGAGCTCGATATTGGTCGGTATTTCGCTTAGCTTTCGAGGGATACAGGTATACTTTATTGGTTGAAATTTAGTCGAATTATCTGAGGAACATATATCCATATTTAAAAATGAGATTGTGCACATATTTCCATTCAGTTGGCCAATAAAGCCTACTATTAGATTCAGTGTTTTGTTATTCTATCAGCAGGTTAAGTCCAAGCCAGAGTCAGACGACTGCGTAACATAATAAAGACCAAATGGGATCATTTCAAATTTTCAACTATGAATTCTGGTTGCTTACATAGTATCACTATTTCGAGACATAATTCTGTCTCAAATACAAGTCAAACCAGCTTAGCATCTTAATTTCTAAACTTGAGCTCAATCGATTTACTACACTGAAATCCTTTGATCATATTTGTGATCTCTCAATGTTAAAATCAAGAATTTATCTTAACCAAACAACTATTGAGAGCCAAGTAGAAATGGATAGATATTTCGTCATGGTATGAAAACACTCCTCATGAGCGCGCATTCATGCTCACTGCAGTGAGAACTCAGTGTTTACACCACTGAACCCGCATCCGGTAGTTTATTTTTAGAAGTTTTAAACATTGAAAAATGAACATTTGAAATCGTGGATAAATTCGCACTACAGAATAATAATTATAATATACATGGGATAACATACAAACTTAGTAATGTTACTGAGTTTTATAAATGAACACAAGAAAATTAGAAACAGGTGGTTAGTAGAAGTAAAATTTAGTAAACCAGGGAATAATACAGTAAAAAAACAAAAAAGTATCTCACTAACTCGTTCACGTTTAGCTTGATCCAAATTGTGTATACCTAATAGAAGGGAGTAGTCCATAATTCTGAAAGACTTGAGTACCTTCAATTGGAAGAGAGAAAGAAGATACGATAATTCGTGACAGAAATGAACTCGTGATAAGGACATTTATATAAGTTCAATTCTATAAAAAATTGTTATGAACTGATTCTTGAGATCGGTCAAGATTTACGGAGTAAAAAATCAATCTGAGAAAAAACCCACAAAACGTGAATGACTAACTGATTTCATTTGTCCTAAAATTTTGTACTGCTATGATGAAATAGTGTGGAAAAAATTTTCTTATTGGAATTGTGAACCGATCAATGTTAGACCACCATTGAAAACCAGGGAAGTATTGAATGTCCGTTTTGTCCTAGCATGGAACTCTTCAGCAACGCTTATGCATGACTCCGCACATAGGGTTCAAATACAGGACCTTCTGTCTCGTGCGAAAACGCTTAACCTCTACACAATTGAGCCGACATTCAACGGTTCAAAGCAAAGGAACTTTTAGTTGAAAATTAGATGATGTGATCATTAAACTACCACTCTATAAAGATTTGTGGAGAAAATATCGAACTAAACGACATCTTGCATGAGTTCAACATCTGCCACCAACCAATCAAGCTTATAACACAATCAGATTTAAACACTGTACTCCATTTCTTGGGTATCCTGTTAAAACGAACACTGGATAGTTCGCTGCATAAATCAATATGCAGAAACCCAACCTAAGACAATCAGTATGCGCATTTTCAAACCTCTGTCCCATTGAGCGTCAAGAGAGACTTCTTTCAATCTCTATCTGCTGTGGGTGAAAGAATTTACACCTATAACATAATAAACATTGAAATACATAAAATAAGACATATTAATCAATAATGGATATCCAGTTAAATTCATCGACAGAAACCTTAAGACGAAATTGGTGAAATGTCTGCAGCTCAAAACAAGATCTTTTATATGAACATTCATTTTAAAGGGGATTTAGTGACAGAAATCTTGAACAATTGACTCTCAACATCTTTGAAGACAACATTTTATTCTGCATGAGACTGTATCATCTTCTACAGTCATCCTTTAATTCTCGAATGTATGAAGTTTAAGCTTCCGCTTCAGACCACATCAGTGTACATGCACAAGTTCATTTACTCTTGAAACACATTTTCCGTCATTACTCTGCTTGGTTCTCTAAAGGATTACTGAAGTTAGTCTGTTATTAAAATTTTGAAGATTTTGTAAACACTGGTCACTGAGCACTGAGCAACAATGCCAGAATGGTTTGGCTGAGCTTCTCCTCTAAATGCAAATTGTTGCTTCAGGACTGGTCTGCATCAACACCTGAACTGAGGATAGGGTGTGAAGTAGTCGAACGCGTCGACAACTTCACTTAGCTCGGAAGTCTGATCAACCCTATTGGGTTGGTGTCTGACGAAATCTCTGCATGGATTGGAAAAGCTCGTTTGGCTTTTGCCAACTTTCGTCACCTATAGCGAAGGCGAGATATCCGTCTATTAATTAAAGGATGAGTATACTGTGCAACAGTTTGTTCTGTTCTACTTTACGGCCGCGAAACGTGGCCATCAAGAGTAGAAGATACTTGTAAGATACTAGTATTTGACCACAGATGTCTTAGAAGTATTGCTCGCATCTTCTGGAGTCATCTGCTAAGTAATAGTGAGGTTAAACGTAATGCATTAGGGAATGAAGGTAAACCAGTCGATGAGGTTGTAAATCTACATCTATTAAGGTGGTTGAGCCACGTGTTATGTATGCCTGAACACCGATTACCACAAAGTGCAATGCTAACCGGTGTTGGAGATGATTGGAAGAGAGTTAGGGACGGCCAAATCAAAACGTGGCATCACTGTTTGGAGTCACTAACTTCTAGCCTGAGCCATATTGGTAGATGAAGACTACTTGGTTGGGGTCCGCATGACTATCGTAACCAATGGTTGGGGACTATTGGTGACATGGCTCTGAATCGATCACAATGGCGTCGGTGTATACACTCTTTGTCGTCTCTTAGACCGTGAGATCAAAATCGTTTCATATCTTTCTTTCTACGAACTAATTCTTTCTTTCTGTATTATGTCCTTACATAAAATCTTTCCTTTATATTTTACACCATTGAGTTAACTGCTTCTATGAATCCGGTGTTCGTCTTGTTGTGCTAATGAGGTGTGGCAACTTGACCGATGCATGTTTGTGCCTGGTCCTACGTTGTAGCTGACTGACACGTTAAAGGTCGACAACAATCAGGACGAGCTGTCACTCATATTTGGAGGGATTCAAAAGCTTCACTTGTACCTCAGGTTTGCGCTGATGTTGTATAGAATTACAATAAAAGATTTATGATTAAATTATTCACGTCAGCGAATACAAAACAATACTAATTACATTTAGATGTCATGCATAACACCTGAAGATGCTTGGAATTAAGATTTCAATTCACTACGATGCTTCAGATTATTATTATTATTAGTTATTAGGATGGCACTGATTGGGAGGATACAAATAAAAAATGATGAGGAATAATATGTAACCAGTACAACTAATACAGAATATGAAATCCAGAAAACTTCCTAGAAATTAATTTTTTTTTAAATTTAGTGGAAAACATTTAATAACTTACGAGACAATCCCTTTCTATCGTTTTGAGCAAAGCATCATAGGTTTCTGCCTCTAACCAGATTCCATCTGGATGATTCTCACTAATAAAGAATTAATTTGAAGAAAATTCAGAGATATTCATTTTTACAGATATGGACAAACGAAGAATATTAGAATATAACACTGGTTATTCTGTAGTAAAATAACTCAGACCCCAACACGTACCTTAATACAATTTGAAAAAAGAAGGATTTAAACAACTTACATCGATGGTATCTAAAATCAATTAACATTTATAAACTATAAAACTAAACTGAAGTACACAGTGTACAGGATGAAGAGTGAAAGAAATAACGAAATAAGAATGGTTTCGTGGAAAAACGTCCATTTTGTACCAGAGAATAGTGACACAACGATGGATTTTGATTATTTAAATACATATTTCGAAATGTATATATTTACATAAATATGCTATTACAATTGGTTCAATAAATAGTAAACTGATGTGATGATGCAGTAGTTTGGTTGCATCATTCATATAGAAATTAGAATAAACTTATATGCCTCTTACCAAACCGTTGCTATTATGTTAAATTTATATCTTCCAACTAAGCGTTTATCATAACCCACGTTGGCTAACATGGATGACATGCTATTCCTAATAACTTACCTCCGATTGAATGAGGTTTGTTTTAAGTAATGCAGCAACGGGTTCAATAAATGAGTGAAATTACAAATAACTATTGAAGTGCTTACGACATTTGATATTAGTCAGTTATAGATTCTGACACAAATGTGCGTTGGACAAAGTTGCCAGATAACTTTAGAAAAATCAAATGAAATTAACAAGATGAATAGTAAAAAAGTTGAAATAACATAACAGCGATGAAAATGTGAAAGACTAAACATTAAGAATACGGTAAGAAAAGACATAATGAGAACGCATAAATAATAGGAGATCTAGAAAAAAAAGGAGTAAATGTAACTGAGCCGTTGTGAATGATTCTGAGCCATGCCATCCAACGTATCCAACCACACGAACCCCGACCTGATAGTCTGCTTCTACCAACAGTCAGTGACTTCAGACTGCTTCCAAGTCTTGATTCAACCGCCTCCAGCTTTATTTCAACTTACTTCCATAACAGTAGAACATCGCTCATCGAGGTACGTAGTGGTTAAGCAAGTGTAATACACTTCTGATAATAATATGGAGAAAAGAAGTTGTTTAACAACTAGCATTTCAAGATGCATACATTATTACTACTAAATATAAATACAGTGTCTATGTTATCGTGTATAAGGTATTTACTATAAAAAAAAACTTCATGTTTACATTTTAACGATAAGTATCTGTGCGAACGTGCATTATTACTGTTATTATTATTACTAATAGTAATAATAATAACAATAATAATAATAATAGTATTACTATAAATGTGTATGACTGAATCAACGAAAACTATTTCCAACCAAAATCAGCCAAAATAGTTTTAGGATCAATCCAATGCTATTTTGTTTCAAGCGTGAACAGACATATGTAAAAGGAATTATTCAGTATTTCAAATTCTGTTACGATCCAAAATTGATGGTAAGAAAATCTACTCCGAAAGTGGACATAAAAATTTAGCTTGTTCAACATTCAAGTTAATCAATTTATGCTAAACTCATTTAATCAAACCACAGTAACCAAAAGCGACTCAATCAGTCTGTGTTGATAGCGAAGTGGTAGCCGAATGATTAAAAACATTTGGCTTTCAAACGAAATAGGTCATAGATCCTAACATTGCCCCGTTTACGTTCGTTTTTGTAACCCCATAGAATAACGAGTCCTCACAGAAGAAGAAAACATGTAACACAAAGCCAGGTAAATAAACCCATAGTTCAGTAATGAGTTACTTGACCGATAGTTATTAAAGTAGGTGAATTTCAGTTAAAATTGGAACCATTTAGCAACCACAGATTGTTAGAGAAGAGGTAAGTAGAGCTACTATAATGACTGCCGTTAAGGTCGCTTTTTGGTTTTTAATGGTTGTCTGGCTACAGTCGATCAGCAATATAAACTATAAAATTCAATAATTTTCACAAAACCCCAATTCCACAACTAAGAGAAAAATGCGACAGTTAGTCCAAATATTGCTTCTTGGCAGGAAACGACCACGATATAATACCAACGTGAGGAAACGTTTGTTATGATTATTTTAAACCAAACAACTATTATACGACGACACTTTAAATATAGAGGATCTCAAAAAGAAATGAAAAAGGTTTCTGAAAAGCCTTTGGAGAATTTCCAATGCTTTGATAAAAAGGACTACCTCACAGAATCAAAAGAAAATACAATTAACGCAACCTCTAAATGGTGATAATATAAAATAGTTCAATAAATGTGATAATGAAGGCTAAGAAACCGATGGTAGAAGAGGTTAAAAACAAATGGTATGTTTTTCTTCCTAACCAAACAGGGATTTGGGGCGTAAAGTAATAATAATAATAATAATAATAATAATAATAATAATAATAATAATTATTATTATTATTATTATTATTATTATTAGTAGTAGTAGTAGTAGTAGTAGTAGCTTTATTCAATATTATATTATTGGTACAATATAGAATTTTCAGCACAAAGTATTTCAACAAGTTTCCGTTTCTTTCTTCTCGGTCGGTCCTCGCGATAAATACTGAGTGGTCGCCAGCTAGATGTTATCAATCCAGTAAATAAACATGGGAATGATGTACATTCTTTTCGTTGTATATTGCCAGCAACCATATTCTCTCTTTTTGAGCTTTTTGTAACTTTGATAACGAAAGGTTGTACATTTTTCAGAAACGCAGCAGAATAGGTTGTGCGATTAATAGACATAATGATATATTAAAACAAACAAAAATAGATAACTTGTTGAAATATTCCCGATGGCAGGAACAGGTAGCCCAGATGCTCAAGCAGGCCGCCGTTGATAATATAGGTACCAATACCAAGATTGAACTTGATAGTTTCACATAAAATGAACATTGGGTATATATACATTTCTTAGAGTGACCCAAACCATACCCCGTTTTAGATGTCAATCAGTGACTAATTGATTGATAATTAAACATCTCTTATTTGCTCGGCGGGGATATATACTATTGGCCAAACTTAATGTACCAAAACTTTGAAAAGCCAGAATGAGAACAACAATATATTAGTGAATAATTAAGACAAACGTTGTTAGCAGCAATGTTACTTAGCTTTGTCAAAGGAGAAAACCTGATGAGTAGTGAACTAGTGAGTGATAACTTCTAGCTTTGATATGGATACCACGATTCCCCTTCCTTGTTTGGCTCCAGTTACTCAGATTTCGAAAGTGAGATTTACTGATAGAAACTAACCATTGAGTTTATCAAACAATATGCGCGAATAGAAATCTATGGAAGGATGTTGAAAGTAAGCCACATATTTAGCGTACTAAAGATGCCACTAACTAATAGAGAACTAGTGTTTCTAAATGCCAGTAAAAACGAAGTATAGATCCCACTAAAAGTTTCGGAGTGAAGATCGGAAATTCAAACTTACAAAGAGAGAAGTTAGAAAATAACGAGTACATAAATAAGGTTTATGAAGTTAACACCCACTACCCTCCCGTGAAATTTGCTACTTGAATAGCATGCTAAAATTCCCTTGCTCCCCCCTGGAGCCTTTCTAGGGTTACTGCCTATCCTAAGCCCGGATGGAGAAGGAGGGTTGGGCATGGGGTTAGTAGTCCCATCCGTAGGAAAGAACCTTGCTAATAAAAACATAAATCAAAAAAGTTATTTAAACTATCTACAGTTCCATGTCATATGGCAGCAAACGTAATTATGAACTAGAGGTGGTTTAAATGAACCAACGAACATGAGATAAAAACTTTTACATTAATTCAATTAAAAAATGTAGTAGAATAATACAAAAACGACTTACATAAAATCGAGATCTTTTAGAGTTGGTGAACTTTTAGCGCGTTCAGCATCACTGGCCTGGCGACCATAAGTAGATCCTTTTAAATCATATTTTTCATGAATACGTACGGAAGAAGGTAGTAGGTTATTCATGACAACAAATCGAATATTTTTATGTCCAGACTATATATATTTGATTAAATTGATGAATGAAAATAAGTGAAAAATAATATGAATATTATTTCAAGTTAGTATGTAATTGATTTAAATAATTTGGAGACATATATAATACCGGAAAACATACAACAGTTCATCTAGTGGTCACATACAGTTTTTGTACAGAAATAAGAGCTACACAAATGTCTAATACCATGAATACGGTAGATAACTGTTCTCACAGTCAATAATAAATCACACGGGACTCGATAGAAATACATAATAAACTAAGTTAATATAGTGAGAAGAAATGAATGCAAGATCAAAAGTCAAAATATTAGTAGCAACAATGATAGTTGACACACAAACATAAGAAATATAATTCTAAAGGAACGAACAAAACTGAGAAATAGAAAATAAAAATGATACTGAAACCTTAGATTTACAAAAAAAACAGTAAACGATCAATATATCTGTGACACTGCAACTAATTTCGCATTCAAACATTCGAACAATAAAAGTCACATATCCTAGCCCATCTAGTAGACGAAAGTTCACAAACAATTCGCCATCTTTACCTAGTATATCACTTCGAAACTTCTTATTTCATAATTGCACTGTACACCCAAACAGTTTTTTGGAAATATTTCTGGTCGAATAGAAAGCAAACTTTGCATACTTTTATCTTCATAGAGGAATTTCCACAGCTGTTAAGTTAGACAGGGAACTGCTGAGTACAATACACACCCCTATAAGACAGACAAACATCTGTTCTACCCACAATATACACATAAAGGATTGAAGCCTAAGGATAAGACGTTTAGACCAGTGAGTGACGGTTCTAAATTGTTTCAAGACTATACATATCGATTTGTCGCTCGTTAGAAGTATGGAAAAAATTCCCCTTTTATCTTGTTATATATAAACATAGATCATGACTATTCAAAATTATGAACAATTGAAAGGCGTTTCCTAGAACATACAGAATCGATGGGTCCCAACAAGCTCGACAACTAATCTCCGTAACACCTCAACAATAAAAATCCCCATATGTGACCGAAGACAGAATAGAGTAACTAAACGGAATACTTGATATTCAAAGTGAAAACTATAATACAGCATCTATTTTTATATACTGATACTTGTGACCTTGGGGCACGACAAAAATAACAGATTAAAAGTGAAAATAACCAATAAGATAATAGCAAAGGTCAGTGGGGGAAATTTAAAACTGCAAAAGTTACTGATAACATTTTTGTTTGCCATAACTACAACCTATTAACAAAAGTAAAAAGTGGATACAAATCCGAAGCTTTCCCACTAATAAGTAAATCATGAATACGATTCATAACGTAATTAACGAATTAAAAACACAAAAATGGAATCATTAGATTCTAGTTAAGTGGTGAAGGAACTCGGTGTCCAACTAACGAATAAGATTTCTACAGTTTACACATTACGGACTGACCTTTGCTATACAGGAAACACTCGACAGTTTTATCGTAGTATGGGACTCCTCATAAACCAGCATGCATGATCCCATCAGAGATCAAACAGGTCTACCAGGTTATGTGGCACGTGCTTAACTTTTAGACAACTGAGTCAGCGTCTAACTGGTTGACATTTCTTACCTCAATCAATTCGCAATGTTGTACAGTTATCATGTAATATTTTATCAGTGGGCAACTAACCGACCCCATTAAGCATGGATAAACTCCACTGATCATAATTTCTTACTAGAATCCTAGGAATTAACCCACAAAATAAGTCACTAGATAGCACATGATTATTATTGATACAAGGGAGTTGTAAAGATTTTAAGCACGCTACATCTACTTTAGTTGAGACAATAAGTTAGTATCACACTGGTCTCTAGTGTAGTCAAAATTCAGGTAAATAGACTCATGTTTAATGTGAATATGTTACATTAATTAATTATAAATACATCTTCAAACTCCAAAATGCATTCGAATAGAATAATAACAATAATCTTGTTAAATGAAACAGGTTTTATGGTTTACCAAAGAAAATAGAAACAAAAATGATAAATGCCAATCAGAACGGAAACATTCTGTAAATTAGATATGATGATAAACAATCTCAATATGTACAATAAAAGGCAAAAAATGGGACTGTTTGGTACGTTTTACAGTATATGCATACATGGACAAAACAACCAATTACTACATAAATTTAATATACTTTACCTGATAACAATAAAGACCGTAATATTTCGGTAATAAAGTACGAGGATGTTGCATTAAATTCATAAAATATTCTGGTAATAATTTTTGTAAAAATTCACCTTCTTTATGTTGTACAGTTTTAATGATGAATTCATCATCTTGACTAATATAAAAAATGGAACCACTTGCACCGGGGTTTGAAAGCTCTTGAAGTGATTGGCTACATAAAGAGTTCTATGTAATAGAAATAACAATGGGAGAAAATAAAAGCATTTCAGTGCAAAAAAGTAACGATAATTAAGATCTAAGTTGATGTCTAGTTCTATGACAAGAACTGAAGTAACTAAAAATTTTGAGGTTTTCTAGGAGGTCTTATCAATTCCTAGTGAGTTTGTGGCTGAAAATAATTATGGTATGAATACAAAGAAGCTATTGTTGCTAAAAATCAACCTATCGCTGTCTACTCATCAACGTGACAGAAGGCTTCAAAAACAGGTCACTTGGTTTCGCTTAACGATTGTGAAACACTACATTCGTAGATAAATGATGCATGTTTAATGGTATTATCTGATTCAAGATAGAGAAGCCCTGGAAAATGTGGAAACCTTCACGTACCTGGGAAGCATCAACGACGAACGAGGAAGACCGGATGCAGACGTAAAGTTAAGGATTAGAAAAGTAAGGGCAGTTTTCCTACAGTTGAAGAACACATGGAACTCAAAACAACTGTCTGTAAGCCAACATCAAACCCAGAATCTTCAATACAAACGTCAAGACAGTTCTACTGTACTGTTATAATTTCTCTAATTACAATCCAGCTATTCCTATTGCTTAGCATTCTTGGACACCGATTCACTAGACAGGTCCTCAAATCAGAACACGGTTGGACAGGAATGAAATTATATTCCAAATAACAAGAGTAAATGAGAGTAGGAATTACAATGAGTAAGACGTTAATATAGTAATAGTTTTTACACGAGAAGACTCTAGTCTTCTCCAAGTATCCACCAGCGCTGATTGGTTAAAAATAGCCAATCAGCGTGCACCAACACAATCCCGCACGGAACGTGCTTTAATCCAATCTATGTCTTACTAACATTTACGGAGCTGAAACTTGGAGAACTACTACAACCATTATCAAAAAGATACGAGTATTTGTAAACAGTCGTCTACGCAAGATACTCGATATTAGTTGGTCCGATACCATCACTAACAGACTACGGTGGGAGAGAGCAAACTAGCTTCCAGCTGAAGAGAAAATTAGGAAAAGACGTTGGAGGTACATAGTACATACATCGGGGAAATCACCAAACTGCACCACGAAGCAAGCGCTAACTTGGAATCCCGAAGGAAAAAGGAGAAGAGGGAGATCAAATAACACACTGAGCCCGGAATCAGAAGCACACATAAAAAGGATGAATAGCAAGTGGAAACAATTGGGAAGGTTTGTTCAGGACAAAGTTGAATGGAGAATGCTGGTGGGCAGCCTATGCTCTTCGACGATCGGTAACAGGCGTAAGCAAGTAAATCTGATTCAAGATGTCTACAAACCACTGGTCGTGCATAATAGAGCTATTAAGTTAGCAATATTATTAAAGCGAATCGAGTACAAGCCCAAGTGTTGCAGATCCATTGATGAAATTCTGAGCCTCAAAGAAGAATTGAGTTTGAACGTATATGGGTGACTTCCCAACTGATAGATACTTGAGAGAAGTGGGATATTGGATTGGAACAATGAATAAAGCAATTGGTTATTAGGAGTTAATGAACTCAAATTCCTCATTCTCTCTCTCTAATCAAGTTGGGGATTTGAAACTATTCTGCATTAATCAAAAGTTCGAGCTCAAACACAGTGGACGAAAACTGTAAACTTCATGCACATACTTCTATTGATCAACAGTTTGCATTCATATATGATACTTTACTAAATGTAAAAAATAACATTATGACACTACAAAAAAATATGCTGATTATGAATTTCAAACTGATGACTAATATTTAGTGTAACTTTGCAAAAACAAAAAATAATTAGCGGTAGTGATAACGAATTTAACCTCACTTATAGTGTACGTAATTTTTTTCAGCAAATTGTGCACCAACTATTATGCACACACACACACACACACGTATATGAACGCACATAAAGAGTTACACAGTCAATACTCAATTATAAATTATGAAAGTACATATTTAAAAAAAAACACTAGTTGTGTACTTTTGATTAGAGATATTTGAAATGATGAATATAAAAGGAAATGTCCAAAAAAAGAAAGAAATTAAAACAATATGAATAAAAGAATGCACACAAGTACATAACATTGAATTTTCACTCTGAAAACACTTTATGCATAACCTAATTGTTTTTACATTGACTATGGGTACTGTTTGTACATGTGGAAGCTAAATACATTTAATCAGCCAGTTTGATTATTGAATGAAGGACTAGGTACAGATGTGCATTCGGGCCCAAGTTACCATAACAACAACATAGTATGAGATCAATAAAATGAAAAGTAAACAAGTGGAAATTGTAAAAAAATTGTATCAATGGTAGTGAAAACTACGCAAAGATGAAAGTAAGATTATATAATAACTAGCAAAAGAGAAATGGATGGAATTATTATATTCATAAATTTTCTAGTGTTTATGATGAAATAACAGAATGAGAAGCATTATCTCTTGATAGTAAATATTGGTTAATAAGAGCGACGCGGAAAATCCTATCAGAAACTTATGCGGACGAAAATAATCAGTAGAATTTCGTCAATTTGCCCACTTCATCCATGTACACATGACAACACCATTTATCTGTCAAACCCCACGATATCATTTCACTTATATCAATAAATCATGTAGACAACTGTGGATATACATTCGATTGGGCAACATTCAAGTCTTGGACAGGCAATACCAAATCAGAGAATTTCTAAAAACATTGGTACTAAAGTCAGTCACCAATCAATAAACAAATCGCAAGAGACCTAACCAATTAGAAGATTCATAAGTACGAACACGGTTAGAAAGAAAGCCATTCAAAATAAGTGTGCAGATAACGACATAACAAGTGACAGCAACAAACAAACTCAAGGTCGAAAGAACAAGCTGCAAGCCCCCCGTTGATGTTACGCAAAAAGATTTAGCCTAAAAGACAGGTCCTAACAGATTGAAGAATGAATGACTTACAAGCTAATTCCCCCCAACCGCATATGGCATTTTATCACGTTTATTTTGTGTTTACATTCTGCATACAAACATATTATTTTGTTTCATAAAATCTATCCATCTGGCTAGTGCTTTTGTCTTTGATTTCTACTTATTCGAGAGTTCGTATCAATAACATATTTTAGTGAAGAGCCATCATTTGGCCATATCACATCATTACGCTTGTCTATCAATTAGCATCCTACTTATCGATTTTGACAATCGAGATGTTGCTAATTCATAATGAAAAATCCCCTCCATAACAAGTGGGGCGAAATTTTCACAGATCACTTCCATCTGTAGATTTGCTGACAATTGTAAAGTAAACCATATTAAAAGTGGAGTGATAGCCTAATGATTGAAGCGTATGAATTTGAATGATAGGGTAACAGGTTTCTTCAACCCGTTTCTGCTTACTTCAGGTTGAACAATCTGGGTAGTATTAAATGTAACACGAGATCGAGTACATAGACAGGTAATTAGTAAATAAATTATATTCACAAATAGTATGTTATGTGAAATTTGGATATATTCATCCTCATTAAGATAAACATAAATTACGTATAAGAACTATTCCATTATTAAACACGCCTTCTGTATTCTAATACAAACCACAATCCACCTATTCTGGATGCATACCATAACAATTAGAGATAATTTGGTTCACAAGCAATTAATAGCACTTTAAAAGAGGAAACATTAGACTTACTAAGAAATCACGAATATCCAATTTATATGACTTTCGGAAACATCGAAAAGCCACAGGAGCATAAATTCTAAATCGGAAATCTGAATATGGATGGGCTTGTGTTGTTTTCGTGCCTTCACGAGGAAAATTAACCGTATCGATAATATTAAAATCTCCGTATAAAAGATCACGATCAGGCTTTTGCTGTAATGAACCAATATGATGTTGTATGCCAAGTTGAATAGCTCCTTGAAGTTCTGATGTAGGTTTCTATAGTACAGCATCATATTACAAATAATATTATCAGGTAATTTTCACAATTTCTAACATTTTAGTGTCAGTAACAAAATAACATGTAATTTAGTTAGTACAGTGGAACGAGGTAAAAGTATCCAATTAGGCGACCGATTGTATGCAACATGCATATGATTACTGCATCTTATATATATATATATATATATATATATATATATATATAAATCACGGGAAAAACAACACAGCATAATTCATTTGCATGGGTAATACACGTTATTGTTGTCATAGCATCATGTTATGATGGTTTATTGTGAAATTTTGTTGTACTATAGTTTTAGTTTACTTACAAATTTCTTGTAAAACTACTAATCTTAATAAATAGCTTATCTTAACAACAAGAGCAGAGAGAACGAACAATAGTTAAATTGTTTGTTTTGTGGAGAAGCCTATCAGCGAGTGAAGAGTTCAAGTTACAATCACTAAGTAGTGGCAGGTTTGAATTCCGCTTTACGTACTTTGGTTCAGGCAACCGAGTAGTTTAATCACTAGCACACGTAAATTGTAGCTTGAAATCAAGTACACGAGTATGTAGGTGAATGAATTAACAATAATCAGGGTGGATGATCTAAATCAAAGTAGTAGACTTCATTAGATTATACTTTACTGGTTTTGGTTAGGAAACAAATACTTTATAAACGGGGATGAATGGTGGCTAGCAGTGGAATCCAGGACGCACGTTTCGTCATGTTTCGAACTCATCAGCTGGATGCACCTGCATCCTGGAGTTGATTTCCACTCCGACACTCTAGCTCAGTTCCGTTCGTTTCACAGGACGTCAAGTTATCCACACAGCTACTGTGACCAAACAGATACTGGCTTGTGCCATAAGGTGGAATTTAATTCATTTTTATTTATTGTTTGAACCTTCCCATTGATGTTTGGGACCGCAATTTACCCGTCTCTTTTTGGTAAATGTGGATCCTGTACAGATTGTCTCGATATTTCAATGCTAATCAACATTTATCTTTGCTTATAATGCTTGTGACTTACAGAAATATCGAAGAAATACTCATGGGATGCGCGTATGTCAAGGAGACTGATCAATCGCAGTCTTAAGCATCAATGGGAAGATCAAAATAATCAATACAAATGAATTAAACATAGACTTTGTGATGACTTTGCCGTAGTCCCTCGATTTATATTTCGATAGTCTTTGGCATCAGCCGATATTTAAATTAGAGAGGACATATGACCAACTCGCAAAACAAGTTAATCTTTTCTAATCGATACTTATTAGTGACATCTCATGATAAAAATAAAAACGCTCTATGATTTCATTGTGTAACATGAAATTGGTCAAATTTCAATGCAAAAAATTCAAAAGTCATCATTAAGGATTAAACCAAGTATAAAAACACAACAACTGAGGATATCATCGAAATTATAAGCACCAATTTTCAACCGTGTTTCCTTTTTTCACATATTTTCGGAATGATTAGAATTTATTTACTTGTTTAAACATAAATATTGGTATAAAGAAGCACCAAAAGACATATGCTCCGCACAAAAGGAAAATGTGATTGTAAGGAGATAAAGAAACGTATAGTGAAAAAAAAGAAATGAAAATAAGTGAGTGAGAGTCAAACAAAGTAGCGGCAGTAGTTAAGAAAAACACAACCAGTAAAGCTTCTTTGAGTTAATCAGGTTCTCACTTATATGAAGTAAAAGAAAGTTACAGCATGACTACTACTGGCTTCTATTCTGAATCATGTCTAATAGTGTTGCAACCCACTGTCGTACTATCTCCAGGACCCCAACCAGGGAGTTGTGGATGACAGACATGCCAGTACTCTACAGCTTCCTTTCATACCATAGCATTGTCATAAACTGATCATCTCCCAGCTTTTTCGAAATAATCCCAGTGTCAACAAATAATGCACGATTTGGAATTTGCAGGGACGATATTCGTCGTACATATCCAAGCCACCGAAGTCAGTGTTTCAAGATGGTGACACCAAGTGAATTATCATCGCTGTGCTTGTGCACATGTTCCCGAACATCCGTACCACTAACCTGGTGTTACCACTGAATGTCAACAATCCTTCGTATACAACGATGATCAAACAGGGAATTGCCAAACATCCTGAATTCAGAGAGATTAGATTTCACAAGCACAGAACAAAACTGCTCTCATCTATGCGCTTGTTACGTTGCAGCAGAAGTAAAATTAACAAGCCTTACATGGATCCGATGAGTAAATCATACTAATCCATATATTCACGATGCAAAACTTTAAATTCCAAAAGCAATAACAGATTTTTTGACTGGGAAATTCAAGACAGCCAAAATAAACCATCAGATCTCAGTAATGAAGACATAACGATACTCCCTATTTCCCGAAAAAGTAATACATAAATCCAGGTCTACCTGTCCACTGTTTTCTCTTTACTCCGACCACTATGCCATTGATCCTGACAACGACCTGCTTATTCGGTCCAGTTGGCGATAACAAAATACAAACCATTTAAAATAAAACTCTCATTTTTAGATTTCTAAAAAATTAAACCACTATACCAAAAAACACTGATAATGAGGACAGAGAATTGTCAAATAATTCTCAAATAATGAATCTAAGGAACTAGTGGTATTAAGTTTTGTGTAACTTACCTTCTTGTACGTGACAGTTCCTTCTTCTGTAACACGTCTGTGTCCAATCTTTTTCTCCTTGCGAGACTCAGCATCACGTGCCTGGTTACGGGAGGTACTAGGGAGAGCAAGTTTGGTTGGGGAGGTATGACTGGGAGGCCCCGGTCCAGAAACATGGACTGATGTTAGGATTAATCAGAAAATAGGAATACAAATAATATATTGAATGATGTATATCTCCAAGTGTTATAACATAATAATGAAAAAGTTTGATAGAAGATACTCTCGAATGTAAATGAATCTAATGGATTGGATGACAATTAAATGAATGTCTCGGTAACAAACACAAGCAAAGAGTAGACTGTACTAGTAATACTAAAGAAAAAAGTATAATTAAAGTTTATAAAAAACCTACATACATTTCGTGGCATATATAAAAGGTCCTTCAGTGAATGTATAAAAGATAAAGTAATGTGCGATAAAATGTTTTTCCTAATTGTTGTAACACATGACTAGGTTAAAAACAGGTAAGAAAATAAAGCAACTTAGTAGCAATGGACAGCTTGTAGTATAAGTCATAAATAAATATTAGTAACTGACTCAATATTGGGATGCAACGTAAGTATTATTTACAATTTGTTGGATATTTCGGATTTATTTTCAGTGATCAATCTGAAGTATCAACGTGTAGTCCACGAGAAAAAGTTACAAATAATTCGCTTATTTGAACTTATAACTACTGATCTGAACATCGCTGAAACTAGATGTTTGACTTAAGCATTTTTCTCATGTGATTGTTGGTTATATCTAAATTAGGTTGTACGTTTAAAGTGCGTGTAACAACTGCTCTGGGAGCATGTAATCGATGCAGTATATGTTGCGTAAGTACGAAGTAGGTGCAATAATTAGACTTTAAGGGCTATGACTGTTGGTTACGATAAACAACTTAAACGCATATGAAAAAGTAAACGCAATGATCATGAGTCATGCATAGTAAAAGCGAGAGATGGATAAGGCAAGTGTTATTGGTAACACTAAGTAACCTTCGGTCGGTAAAAAAGCAGGTAGTAAATAGTCAGCCAATAGTAACGCTATTTCTAAAGTTTCTGAGTTCCCCATAAATTGCTTTATTATTTCACCGATTGATTTTTTTCTCAAATTGTATATTCGGTTCTTAATCTTTCCTATTACCACTGGTGCTTTTAATACCTCTGATATTCTGAGATTTGCCTTGAAAATTTCATCTGTGCTAGTGAAGTATGGCAACTTGAACCGATGTGCACATGTGCCAGCTTCCACGTTGCGTACGACTGACTTCGGAAAAAGATGGAGCGTAGGTCTAATTTTAGTCTACATTTGAAAGAGAGATACAGAACTTTTGGAAAATGTCAGGACTATCGAACGTTCTCAGTTTCATTTTATTTCGTCACAGATATCTCGTTGTAAACCCCACTCGGCTTATTTAACTTTTCAGGGACTGATCCCTTTCCTGGAATCTCGCGCACTGCTCTGAAGTACGTAGACGACAGTTTAGTTCAGTGAATAAGATGACAAGATCCAATCTCCCAAACGCTTTGTTTAATAGTGGAAGCAAGTTTATGATACGTTTCTGCCCCCCCCCAATATATAAAAAGCCTGGCTGAGACTGCATATCGGGAACGCAGTCGAAAGCTCTGATCACGTTGATGATCTCGGGGGTTTCGTCAGCCCTGGTGGGTTGGTAGATGACGAAGTCTCCTCACACACTTATAAAGCTCCTACACTTCCCAACTGACTTCACTTTCGATGAATATAACATATCTGTTTTCCGGCAAACAGGTGAGTTCACTGAATTACTCTGTATTGTTATCCCATAGTTATAAAACGAGCTATGGCAGTGGATATGAAAAGATTGCAAGCATTTGATCACAGATGTCCCCGAAACATTGCTTGTGTGGTGATACAACTGAGCAATGCAGAAATTAAACGTAGGAAGTCAGCCAAAGATAAGATACCGGTGGATAAATTTACGGGTCATTAACAACTGAGGTGGCTGATCATGTGTTAAATAGGTCTTAACAATTACCATAAACGATGAACTACGTTGACTGGAGTAAGAACAAGATGAAAGGATACTAAAAACAGCCAGACCAGAACATGGAATCAGCTCGACGTCCTTGACTGTTGTATTGGTAAATGCAAGGAAACTAGTTTGAGTCAGAGACTGTACTAATCCATGTACGAGTGACCAACCCACTGAAGAGACAAGCACTAATAGATCTATCGACTTTGACATACCGCAGTACTGTTTAGATTTGGCTAAATCATGTAGGAAGTCATTTATAAGAAAAGGACAATAGAAGTTACCGAACATGTTACCCGATGCTGGAGAGTAGATACAAGGAGCCATCTACCAAGATATCCTAGGGACATCATTTTGATCTATCTACAGAGCTATATTTTAGACTTGTTAGGGTTGAAATATACCGACAAAACGGGGTTTTGAAGGCCAAGAGAAGTGAAGTGTTTGGTGCAGTTAACCACTCAAATCCCAAAGGATGCTCCGAGACTAATTGATGTCGTTGTCTAATCTTACAAATCAGAATGCAGCAACTAAGCGCATTGACTATTGTAATTATCTTGGATATATCATCAATGCTGAAACGAAAGTGGATGATGAAATCTATCTACGAAAAGGCTTTCGAGCTTCGTTTATCATGAATAGGGGATTGTTTGACTCTTGGACGGAATCCCACACGCTTTTAGGGTGTTCTCACCACTAGTTGACATTTTTGGGAGGTCGAGTATGCTGACCAAACTGTTTCTGTTCAGTCTCATACCAATTAAACAATCATCGGGAGAAAGAGATAACATAAGTTGTGGACACTTGATGTCGTATCTCCTGTACTGCCAAAGCGCCAGATGAAGAACTCTGAAGTTAAAATCCTACGCGATGAGAGTTGTCAATATATTAGGAGTAAGAGAGAAGTATTATTTAAATAGTTAAGCTTGCTATTTCATGATACGAAATCACAAGTGTGAATACCAGGCGCCTTGTTCCTCTTACGTAGGAAAAATTGGATATTTTTGGATTTCGGTACAAAACGAGGGCTACAAACATTTGGATCGACTAGGAAAATAAAACCCCTCACCTCCCGCCATAATTTCCCAGTCGCAAAAGGCGCCTTGTGACTGCGCAACACCTGAAGTACAATGAAATCTGTTTATCACAATACATTAATCATTAGATATACAGTCCACCTAGCTTTTGTCATATGACTTGAAGGAGTATCACCTTGCTACACTTACAGCCCGTTTCATACATCTGATTATCTCGTCACGATAAAAATTCCTGTCACTTGCTTCTAATTTCTGGTTTTCAATAATATTGGTTTGACAAAAGATGCGCTTCTCATCCACGAACATCGGGGAGTCTGGATTAGCGTAAGTACTATAACATATACAGCAGATCACCTTCACATACTGCAGTTTTATCACTTCAAACATCGTTCCACGTTTTTCTACTGTGGTAGATGTCATGGGGGCGCGTTTAAGAGGGAACTGCAGTCAGAGAAAATAAATGTCTGTTGAATGCTTTAAATGCGATGAAAAATTTTCGTTAACATCTTGGATACTGACGCTTAGGTGTGCGTCCTCATGAATTCTAAAGCTTGTCAGAAAGAGTCTATGTTTAATTACGGTATTTCTATTAAATTATGATTCCGTTGTATTTTGGTGGAGTTTTGTTCTCTGAGCTGGATGGTTTGGTCGTGGAGCTTTCAGCGTTGTATACTATTCTACGCTTTACTCGAATTATGAATACGATACGTATAATTCTACCTAAGATGTTCTCACTGACATGAGTACTCGTCTGGTAGAGCTCGAATCAGATAGTTAGCATATTGAATTTGATTATTTGTGGTTATCTTAATGCTCCATGGGATGCAGATGGAAAGGTGATCATCGTTATGATTAGGCATGTGTTTGTCAGAGTTTCAGTTTGGGCAAGACAATTAACTTGACTTAACCACTGTAGACATCTCAATCGCAGTCACTGACACAGATCTGCTGAGATATTACAACCTCCCAGTCGACCGAAACAAACTGAGCCAAGAAGATAGAAAAACTAATACATCCGTTTACAAAACACTATTCTCCAGTTCCAGATTACGTTCATTTTGAGTCAGTCATGTGGTTAACTTGTACTTCTAACCGGTTCTTCACAAATATCCCGAACGCTACATGCTACAATCGGAAGTACTGTTTGTTATTAGCTGTGTGTTATGTTTGTTATCTTTATATTCGATGAACGAGAACAAACTACTCAACTAAAAACTAGAATACGAATGTTCTTCTCAGTCATAAACAATCAAGTTGTAAGTGGATTGAATGGACACAGCTGGACTGGAATGATAGCAGTTTCGGATCAACACCTGTTTGTGACTGTATTGGATTTATATTAACATAGGCACTTAGAATCAACGGCAATTGTATTAGAATGGAAAGAACACTGGCAACGGAATATCTAGAAATTGTATTGTAGTGAAACAAATCCAGGACTGTACTAGACTGGCCCAATCTGAATTGTACTGATATGAATGCGAACTGTCCACAACGTAAGCTAGTCAGGGGGTCCCAAGTATTGATAAATCAATACGATTGCAGCGGTAAATAATTCCCCAAAATAAATAGCTCTGTAAGTTTTCGACATTGGATGCTGACTAGATTAGTTTTAGTGGACTCACCTAGCTAAAGGCGTTCGGTCATGCATCCGCACCAGATCACATGTGGGAACGCCGTGCTCAACATCTACTGCAATCGGTAGCCAGATTAGATCAGACAATTCCGATATATTGGTTATCTTCAAATACACTCTTCCGATCTCCTCGATTCTGCATTTTGATTTCTCTTGGTGGGTAAGAGTTATATTAGAAGATGTTACTGGTCAAAGCGCTGTCAAACACTGAATACCTGTGCCATCTTCACGATCAACAAGTAGATAGATAGGCAGATAACCAAAAAAAGATATTACAAGGATTCTTACTTCGGGCATTCAAATAATTCAACCACTAATTAACCAAAAGAACTAAACTAATACTTTTGAAAGGCACATGCCCAGTTGAATTTCGTATCCCAAAACGAATAGACGGTTGCTTTTAACATGTCCGTATTGAAAACCATACAATTTCATGCACTATTACACAAATACTGAGCTACTCTGTGTGCTAGAAAGTCTGCCGACTAAATCCTGTGAAGTAGGCGATGGCTAAACATGAGCTCAACTACATGGTAGCTTTAGAATTCATCCGGCCTTCAGACAGCGCATGGCAGCAATAATTGGTGTTTTCGTGGATCAGAGGTCTAGAGGTTCCTGGGTCGGGGTACCACAACTGAGGAGTTCCATGCTAGGACGAAACTGCCGTCCAGTGCCCATGGGTTTCCCATGGTAGCCTAGCTGACATCGGCTCGTGAAATCAGCTGCTCAAACCACTACAATCTCCACACACATCATTCTGATTTACAATTTATCCGGCATTCAAACAGTGCATAATATCCAAGTTTCGTATAGTCTCGGACAAAGGCAATAGTAGCTGACAACGTAAAGAGCTTATTCGCTAGGCACGAAAAAACTCTATAATCCCAGAAATAGATTGAGCAAACGTTTGTCTGTCGGACAGTAACTTGACAAAGACATTTATCATTTTTGTCAGAGATCGATGCACTGTGGAAGATAGTATCCAAGCTGACTATATATCGCCGCTTGGGGTACCCAGACACGTTCTCGTGTAAATCAAATGCTTGACCAAATGCACCCGATTAAAAATGTGCTCAGTAAAACTAGTAACGTTGATATCAATGTCGAAGACCTATGGAGCAGCATTCAGAAATCAATTTAACATTACAGCTCATTTCATCCCTAATGCTGTCATGAGGATTTAAGGACGTAAACTCTCTCCTGTTTGTTCGCACGATTTGTGGAACTATGTCGTTTTTTATTTGTGGGAGCTACGGGACGAATATACATAAGTACTAAAACGACAGATAGATTTTTCGATTTCACTTCAATTCTTTTTTTCGTTTTCAGTCCATAAATAAAGAAGTGAAAATTTAAATATGTAGTGGTATTTGTCCTAACCACACAATCATCAAAACTGAATATGAGGTAACTGAGAAAATAGATATTCAAAATGTAGAGGTAAATAAATCCCCAAAACCAACAGCTCTCTAAGCCTTTGACAATTCGTACTGACCATATTAGTTTTAATTGACTTATAGTGGAATCGGACCATAACCACACAATCCTAGGAGCTGAACACGAGACTACTCGGAAAATAAATATTCAATAGTTAACGCGGAGAAATACCTAACGATGGCACAGGCGGAAACAATGGATGAAATTAATTCGAGTTGATCTGATGGCATGGCTCGGCCATGCAGGCGTGGTCCCTGCTGAATGTTACCTTATATCTTTTATTCATACTAAAAATATTGTTCTTTCTCTAGCTTAAGCTTGTTCTCCATCATGTATTGGTAATTGTTACGATGGTGTGAGTTGGTGTAGACGATGGTATGACTTTGTGGTGTTTGAATGAACCAATGATACCTTTGTACTTGTTGAATGGTTGATTTCGAATTACAAATACAATACATCCGTTTGTGCTTGTGTCTTACTTCTTGATTCAATTGCGTTATTTCTGGGACTCTTAGTTCATAATACAATTCAAACAATTGAAATATTATAGACTTCCACGTAAGATCTTATAGATTAGGCAGTTATGTCATGACAAATGTACAACTTTAGGATTAGGTCTATTATTAAAGCAGTATCAATATCATAGTATACCGTAATTAAACAAGTCCATACATTGCTTTGCATAGATATTCTAGGTTGTTCCCTGGTTGACGATACTATAAAAATTCTAAGTAGAGGTGCTTACATCTATCTAGCAGTCGGACTCACAGTTCGCAAGTTTGTGTCCCAGATAACGTCGAGCTCACCAATGAAGATGACACATGTAGTTGGAGTTCAACAACTCTTTAACTAGTAACACCTTCTAATATGAATCGCATCTACCAAGTGACATCAAAAGACAGAAGCGAGGAGGTTCGAAGATATATTTGATAGGCTATCAATATATCGAGGATTGACTGATCTTGACTGGCTGGTGATTGTGGGGTATGTGAACACAGAATTCCCACTCGTGATCTGGTGCGGATGCATGACCGAGCACATTCAGCTTGGTAAGTCTATCATAGTAAACCATGATTCTACATTGGTAAGCCCGACTAAAGAAACGCAACCTATTATTGTCAATCCGTATTTCCACTTTGACTTTCTCGATCGATTATACTTGTGTAAAACCATTATTCTGATAGTCCTCTGATTAATGCTCACATGTATCATCGTAATGTTATTTCGATTAGTTCTTATAACTTACTAGTTCAATCGATAATAAAAACTGGTCATCTATATTAACTAATTAGCTTTGGTGGTTCACCAACAAGCTTTAACAGCACTTACATACTCCAGTGAAATAAAATTGTTTAAAGATCAACTTATAGCAAATATGACCTGTATATAACCTAAATATACATTGACTAATAACAAAGCAATCAAGGACTAAATAGTTATCTGGATCTGACTCTTATTGTTCCTTTGCTTAACACCTCATTCTTTTTAAAACTATGCACCATCCTGTAATATCTTTTATTCCGACCACCACCGACCACAACAAGGGTGACACTACTCCAAAAACATACGGTGAGTTTCAGCTATAAGTTTTCTGCAATCATAAGGTCATTTTAGATGGCTCCTTCAATGGCAACCACAAAATTACCTGGATTCGTTCGACTGTTGTGATCCGAGCTAGTGGCAAAAACGTCAACAGCACCAAGCACCCTGGAATTAATTGCCATACGGCATGTTTTATTCTGGATACTTTTGGATCATGACTACTCACGAATGGCGTTATATATTGTCTTCCACTCAATAATCTAATTTCCAAAAATAATCCAGGTGAGTTCAACTATTTTACTGGATGATTTTTTGTACTTAACATATACATATTTTCCACTTGCTTTCGCTACATATTTGTAAGTGTCCCTAGGCTAAATGCAGTAACTTCTTACGGAATGTTTATAACGCATCATATTCCTGCCTGAAGTTTCACAAGCAGGATTAACTT